TAATCCGATTTCATACGGAATAACATTTAGGGTGGAAATAGATAAAGCGCATATTTGGCTGGCTTCTTCGAAGATGAACAAAGGAGTTTTAGATTGACTTAGTTCGATGTTGACCCTAGGCTCATTTGTTCATTTCTGAAGAAGCCAGCCGATGACTTAAGCCAGCCAGATAAGCGCTTTATGTATTCCCACCTTAAGATATAGCTCCCATACATTGCACTGCTTTTTGCTAAAGCCGCAATATGCATTTATTAATAATTATAGTTGGTATGATTTCCTTTTCGTTGCAAGACATTAGTAATTAACAGTTCGTCTCGGAAGCGGTTCACGATACATCTACAGAAATAAATGAAATGCTCCAAGCCCCAAAAGTGGAATGGAAAAGTACCAAACAATCTCATCACAATTGCAATTTTAACACACACACTCTCTCTCTCTCTCTCTACGTTTGCTTCCATCTCTCTGGGCGCATTTTACTCCTTTTCGTGTGAAATACTCTCACTTCAACCTCTATATACCTAATGACGATGGGACTCTGTTGCATTTCCTTTCCTTTTTGTTATACCTATGTGGCAGCAATGTCCATTGTTGCCAACGATTAACATACATACGATGTAGAAATATTTATGTTTCGGTGGATATTTGTTTTGGTGGCAACCAAAATTCTCCAACGGTGGTGGCAAAACAGCAGATTTTATTTGAATAGTTTTTAGTGAAGTGAATAATTTTAGAAGCAATTATTGAATACCATCGCAAATAATTATGACCGAATTATTTGGCTTCGAAATTCCTAAAACTTAACGTAACCGTCCCATAATCGAGGTATCGGAACTTTCAGAATAAATCTCGAATTAGTCATCTACTCCGTACTGATTGTTTTAGCACGGATAGCAGGGATACAATCTAGCTGTTGAGAATGCAAAATGCGTGTGAAGACACTTTTTCGTGACTTATATCGGATGAAACGGCGACAGTTTATAATTCATAACGTATTAAGCAACAATAAGATTTTATTCTATCTAAAGAATATAAGACACTGTGGCGCAGTGGTAACCATACCAGCTTTGCTCTCTGAACACCTTGGTTCGATACCTTAGCCAGACATCACATTTTAAAAACGAAAAAAATATGTGTGAGTATTTCAGCTAATAAGTATAAGTTCTATGCAAGCGTGCAATGGAAAATGTACCAATGACAATAAAAAATTTAAAAAAATATATTTTTTTTCATTTCCAATTATTATCGAGATGGTGACTTCCTCGATTAACGCTGTATAAGCTATTTATCGCGGGTGTGGTTCATTTCTTCCTGAAGGATGCAACTTCCGCGATGAGAAAGCGATATCAACCGCGATGATTTCTATCGCTTAGATGCGATTTCCAAGTCACTTTCGGGATATTTTTTGCTCGCAGGGTTGCATCTTGTGGTTGCATCCTATCCTGAATAGATACGCACGTACATAAGTTGTGTGAGGACTAAGATTTTTATAAAAATGCGTATGTACGTACACAAATAAATGTACATGTGTATGTAAATGTCTATAACAATTTATTTTTATTAAGCTTTTTATATTCGTTTAAGCCAAACTAAAGATATGCCTTCAAATGTGGCATTATTTGTTGTCATTTGAAAATCTCTTCAAGATATGACTTTTCCCTTTAGTAATCATGTTGTTCCCAACATCCCATACATATGCACTTGTTGCAATATCAAACTGCCTCACAATATGAAACAATACATATCTACACAGGCCACCATGTAACATAACGCTGGCATTTCTTTGCCGAAGCCCCAATAATGATGGCAGGCTAAAGTTAACAGTTTAGCACAGACACACAAAAGAAATCCTTGAAACTTCCTCCATAGGTTATTTTATTTTTCAGCAAAAAGCAGACGACCAGACCCACCACACACTCACTTTTATCCTCAGAAAAAAAACTATGTTACAAACTTGTTTCAATAATTTCGAAATTGACCTTCTTCTCGGACTACACTGTGCGCCATGACCGAAAAGACATAAAATGCTTCATCTCTGGCTGACATGTCGGTTTCATGGCTCGCAGTACTTTTTAGTTGGCAGGTATAAAACGTTACAGGACAAACTCATATATGCGATTGTAGCGAGTTATAGGGAATCTTGCGAAATCAATACCACAAGCACTCTGCGTGGGCGTGAGGAGACAATCATACTGGTATTTGAGACAGATAGATAAATAGATAGATAGGTAGATAGATGGATGAAAGCAAAATTGTATTCTAAAAATAACTCACAACGGTGCGTTCGGCCACATTTTCAAATACCCAATGACCATATATATATACATATGTACAGACTGTTTTGATACATATGGAAAATGTATGAGATACCAAGATATTCGAATTCCGGACTATACAGGACTTCCGGGGAGGTGCCAAACCGTATTACTCATCTCAATCTGAATTTGATAAAAGATATTACGTCATGCAAAATTGTGGCCAATACTTATCGTGGGGCTAGACATATAGACACATAGAAATGCCTTGATCTGCTGTAAATGTCCTGAAACAGTTTTTGTCCAACGAGACATATAACATAATGTAAAAGTATTCTCACCGATTTGGCAAATTGACGGCTTTGCAACCAATAATGAAAAGTTGTTTTTTGCCATAGCAACTATCGTTGGGGGTATCTCCATCCAGTATGATTCATTGCCTGTAAGTATTTACCTAAAAGATGTTATTATAACATTCAATTCCAACGATCAGTGCTCTAATGTTAATGCCTGTTGCACCACCCAGACTTCACATTGTTTGAAAGTGTGGCTTTTTGTCTGGCTTGTGGTCGGTCGTGTTTAACATTGAATTAAAACTGGTTTTGATCCACAGCCGGAGCTGATGGGTGGTGGCGGTGGTTGCTATAATGGCACATAGCAATTCGGTATGACTAAGCACCGAAAGGCGCATCATTCGGAATGAATGAAATTAAATAACGGATGACAGGGGAATTCTTCTGTTGAGCTCCCACTTGTGCTTCGCCCAACCTGTTTATCATTGCTTCGTTTAGTTTTTGTGTCAGTAGAGCGAAATCATACAAAGGGCAGAGAAGTGCAGAGACTTAAAACCCTATACCTAGGTTCGTGCACATGTATGTTCACTTACCTGTGCATATGAATTGATGCTGAAATCGTCAATTCGCAGATAATAATGGGGGTCTATTGAAACATTGTTTCAGCAGGATCAAAATGTGAACAACTGTATTTCTTATGTTTCTTAAATGTTTCTTAAATTGGTGTCTAAGGTTTTTAGCTCTTTCCACTTCCATATGCAAATTGTCGTGAGTCCAGACCTCTAATACATTCGTTTGTTAATCCTCCCATTATTAGCATCTTCATATGAACCCCTCGCCTCTAGGTAGTTTTTCACAATGTTGTTTTTTCTTGTGTGTACGAAAGATGAGAGGGAGAGCCCAAAACACACAACCGGACAGTTGACTTCGTAGTCATGATCATACAGCCGCGTGGGTTTTTTTTCGAAACGACATGTCTGGTACAACAACAAAGCAAGTCAAACAACTACATTTCAAATTCGCTTACAGACCATCCATCCCACGCCTGCCTAATATTTCAAAACACTAATGACCATCTTGGCGTACCATTAGAAGATTTACTCTCAAAAACGGGGAGGCAAAATGTAGACGATGGTTTATAAAAGAAACGCCAGCCACCCCAAAGGGATAGGACACTAAATCAGAGAAACTGCACTCGTAAGATGCCCTTGGTCCAGTGTGGACATTCTTATTTCGTACTTGGGATGAGTCTTCATGGAAATATCGGAATCAGAACAGATCGATAAAAATTAAGAGCAAGTTCGTTGAAATAAGATGTTTGTTAGAGTATTATTTTTATTTTTCCGTATTAGGAAACATTGTAAACTCCTCTTTAAGCCTGGCCTCTCTTTGCCCATTCTCGTTACTCCCTAAATTGGCTATTCTCGCTGTTCCCCTACGAAATCCATGGGCATTGCAAATTTTTGTGCGTCGTGTGTGACAGCAAACAAACTTCAACACTGCTACTTCTGTTTTCGTTGCTGTCGCATTCTCTTTTGTGATGATCTTTCGTTCGTTGAAAGAGTGTGGTGTGTGAGTATTTGTGTAAGGTGGCTGGATGGATATGTGGGGGTTCCCAACTCAGAGAAGAATTGCCCCAGGTTCCCATATCATAGGCCTTTTTACAAACAAAATAATATCCATTGTGGGGGTCATGCACAATTAACATAATTTGATGCAGTAATAGATCGATAGACCTTTGTAGATCAAATTACCTATTAACATGTTGGAAGAACATATCCTTCCACTACACTAATGTTAATAAGACCTTCATATTTGCACTTCTTCTTGCCCTTGAATGCACTCACAACTTTCGACATTTAAATGCATTTTCCGGTCTTTAGTGCCTTGGTCACTGAATCCCCTTTGATCATGCAAGTGATGTTTAATGGCCCTTCTTGCTTTCGGAACGATAATTAGTATATAATCATATATTCTTATCTGCCATGAAATCTTCATATTGCTCGAATTTCTGCAGTGATTGAAGATTATGCTCAAATGTTTTGCAGATTCCACCATCAGACTTCCTTAATACGAAGTCATCTATTCCATCCGTTCCAGCAGACCTTCAATTTGGTTTTCTCTTCTATTTAATTCCTCCCCGATATTGAGAGCTTTTTGGCATTTATTTTCTTGCCATCCACTATCCTATCTATCAAATTGGTTTATTGCACATGGATGCACCACTTTTCGCACACAGTCAAAAAGGCCCTTCGCTTCTCTGTGAATACGATTGATCTCACCTAACGTTGTGTTGGGTAGGTCGATAAGCCGGTCGGCATAATTGCGTGGTGTTCTTTTCTCTGTGTTTTGTTTTTAGCAGGCAGAAAAACTGAAACAGCGCTGCTGACTCCTCAGTCGACGACGCCACCACCACCAAACATAAAGCAACCACCGCACACCAAACCATCGCAGCAGCCTACACTCCACTCGGGTCGGTTCAGTCTGTAGGAATTTTTCAGTTTGAGCGGTTGTGGTCGGAGTACATGTAGCGGGTGTTGCAAGTGAAAACAAGCAACAGCTCTGAATTCTAAAGAAATTAAAAACGGAACTGCATTCGATTTGAATCCAATTTTTTCTGTTGGCCAAAATCAAAGAAAAGAAAAAGTGGTATCAGTGAAAAAAATAAAAACAAATTCCCATCAAATTTATTGCTATGGCTCTATGAAAATTGCACAGCGAAGAAGAAACTTCCCAAATATTGCATTAAAATGAAACAGCTACTCATTTGTGAAACACAGTGACATTTTAAAGTGACGTGAAGAGAACGACAAGAAGCGCTATCTCCCTGAGGCGGAGAGAATTCTATTTGAACGAAAGGTGGGTCCGCTCTAACATATATTGTTGTTGATTTAGTTGCTAAAAATCCGTTACATTGAAGTGGTGTGGTGTGGTATAGGGCTTGTAAATCCCACAACACAATTCCAAAATATCTCTCTTCTGCCCACACAATTCCTTAAGTTTTGTAGGTTAAGAACAGTTTTCAGATGTTCCCGGATTAATACAATGGTCACAATGTAGCTAAAAATGTTATGCCACATCAAACTCCCATTTGTTGGTTTGGTCAATGCCTACGTCTCCTTTTTTTGCATTCATAAGCAAAATATAAATAAAGCTTCGGAAACAGTCAGGCACGAAGAAAACAACATCTTGTAAGAGCATGGCATTGAAGAGGGGAGGGGTGGAACTCGGATCGATCAATCGCACAGCGCTAATGGCTGGTGGGGCTGCGCAGGGTGGGCGTCATCGTTACTACATGACTTTTTCAAAAAGAGTGGGTGAACCTCAATGAGAGTTATTCACGATGATGATGAAAGCCAACAGACAAACAACAACAGCGACAGCTGGCAAAATGGGGGGACTCTGTGAAATTCTCAGAAGTAATGAACAACGGAACACAGAAGAAACAAAATGCCAAGACAAATCTAAATATGAGGGTGTTGGGTTGTGCAGAAAAAAGTAAAGTCATGACAAAATAGTGGCGATCGAGTAAGGGATTGAGTGAGTTTAATTTCCGAAAGGCTTGGTTATTGAGGTTAGGTTCCAAAAACTCTGCGATCTACCAAGCTACTGATTTCCGGTATCCAGGCCGCACAAACCTACCTACGTCGTCTTCGAATGGGTCCGTCCTGACTCCAATTCAAACAGGTACATTTTCATTTCTCTGAATCAGTTGCCCCAATAAATCATCGGCCTGTCTCGTTTAAGGGTTGTTCTGTACTTGACGTTCTCCCCTCCCAGATCAGTGAATTGCGAACAACAAAATGCTTCAATGCAATCTTTGATTGCGACTATTTCCTGTGTTACATGGCGGGCGGCAGTCTTCATGGCAATGATGGCGATGGTTGTGGTGGCGTCGTTGCCGTCGAAACGAAACGCTTGAGAATAATCAATGCCTGTTACCTGCAGTTTACCTGTATATCTCTGCCAGATCTACACCCCGCAGCTGATGGGTAGAAATTTTACCTGCCAAGTGTTCGCTAGATACCTTTTGTTGTTCCACGAAGAGAAGCAGACAAAAGACCCCTTCTTTCCATAACCGAAGAGCGACAGAAAACACCTACATACATTGAATCAAGTGGTGGGTACGGGCGTATGCGGTTCAATGGTTAGATGGCCGGACTGTGTATTTTCTGGAGTGGTGTCTGTCTGCCTACATTCGTATGTATGTCTGGGTATGTGATCTGCTTTTTGTGCGTCGGTTCACCACCCCAAAAATTGATCAAGGATTTAAACATCATTATCGCCACATGAGGAGAACGCAATAGGTTGGAGGGATGGATAAATAAGTATGCCGGCATGGGTAGATAAATGAGCAGCAAATATTCCACTATTGTTGTTGGCGTTATGGTCCCACCAGAAAAGAGTGGGTTCGCATTTGCGTCTGCGCAATATTTAAAACACGTTTTCTTTGCCGTTATGGGGTTTAAGGTTGGGTTGGGTATCTTCATGTGCTGCTTAGTCGACCACCTCCTCTTCCATACACACACAGACACATCCATACACACTTATGCACACCTTCTGCAAATGCTTATAGGCTTACAGTGAGTGGCGGCGACGGAGGTGGTAGTAATGATGAAGATGATGGCCATTGTTCATAACGATCCCTTTTTGTGTGCTTGGGATTTTCAATTTTCTACGTTTTTTGTTGTGTCTGTCTGTCTGTCTGTCTTTTGTGAAATCATTTCGTTGTTTCTTAGCGACCGTTTTTGGGTTGAAGGTGGTGCTGTTGCTGTTGGTGTTGGTGGCATTACTGGTTGTTTGCGTCGCATAACTATAAAGATTGCTGTGGGTTGGGACTTTCTGGGATGTGTTTCTTCTTATTTGACATGCGTATAGGCACCATAGGAAGATCGGTTAATGGGTGGTTGATTTTCTTGGAATTACGGATGCTGGCTGCGTGCATTGAAATGCCTGTTTTTTTTTATTCATAGCTACCTACCTACCTACATACGAATGAACGTATGGATACATATGAATTGGTTATACATTTTTTATGATGATCAACATGGACACACTGTCCATTCCCCGAAATATACAACTCAAACTGCACCATTTTCCAATCTAAAAAAAAGCAAGAGGATAGCTTTTGCTCACGTCAATTCTGCAATAAAGTTAGAATCTTTTACTTTGAGCTTAGTGTTGATCGATTTTGATTTGACCGAGCCACATACGACCACACCATAAACCAGTCAAATGCTTTGGCTGAGGGAACACACACAGAGCTCACTTTCATGACGCTAGCGGCTAAGCAAATAATATGAAACAGTTTATGGTGAATATCAGACTGATGTCGCTTGTCGAGCCCGGTAACCTAGCTCGAATAAGAAATCACAGCCTAAAGTTAATACAAAACAAACTCTCTGTGTGTAGTTGCTCTGACAGCGAGTGTGATCCACTAGGCGGGTAAAGGAGGGGAGGAAATTACACACACTTAATTTGAGCCACGACAAGCCAAAATCAACAAACGGGTGGTTTGTGCGTGGGCTGTGGGTGTATGGCTCTACTCTACGTTTATACGAATCACAAAATAGCATTCAAAAGCAACAGCACAATTCACATGAAGGTGTGGGGGGCACATTCTCTTCACATGACTTTGACGTGCTGAGGAAGCCGAGGTCGGTGCAGCAGCTTAAATCTTGGCATGATTTTTGTTGCATGCATCCTGTTGGTCATTTCGCAGCTCCTTTTGTCGGCATACGTGAACAGTCCTAAAAGCAGCTCACGTAACTGCTTCTTTCATAAAATATGGGCGGCAGGTGGTATTTTAAAGTTTTTTTTGGAAATTCGAAGAGAAAACATAAACACAACATAAAACATCGTCTGGTCACCCAGCCCAAGAAGGGCAATAACAATAAAGCATGACTTTGTTGTTTTGTATAGAGAGCACTAATACATTTTTTGACTGTCTGAAGCGGAGACGATGATGATGTGCGTCGTAGTTGTTGCTGATAATCGTCTTCACCATAATGACGATCTTGGTAGGTAGGGATCATAGCTTTGACTCTGTTATATTCATTGTTTTTGGTAAATTATTTTTTTAATATCGAAAAGTAGTTTTTCTACTTTGGGATGTTGGTTTCGTGTGAAGAGAAACACAAGGAGGGTGGTGTGGGTATCAGACAGGTAACATGATTAAAAATGTGGGCGGATTTTCAAACATTGGTGAACATTTCAAGGTTAGTGATTTAGCTAAAGTTTAAACTAATATTCCGAGGTGAGGGTAGAGGCATGGAAAACGGGGAAGGGAATGTCCGTCATTTGGGGATGCAGCTGTGTGTGTATGTGTTACAAGCAGGTCTGCGTTGCTGGTGGCAGGTGCACCCCTATAATTTGCCTCTTAGTTGTCTTCAATTTCCTCCATTAAAAGCATCATGCAACAGAGTCGCCATAAAGGTTGGTAGGTAGATGGGCTGCCGAACGTGTATTCTAGCAAACACCCCCTTTGCCATTGTCCATGTCTTGCCTCGTCTTCAGCAGACAACAGTTGTTTTCGTGAACATAATGCAGAGGCCAGCAACAAGAATATAAGAAACGGACTTCAAGCAAACCAGAAATCTCATTATCCTTGCTTTGTTCGTCCCATTATCCTCCAATTGCTTGGGAAAGCAACATGTGCTAAAATTCCCAGGCATTTATAGATTTTAATTTAGGGGTGGTTTTACGGACGGCTGTCACTGATCGTTAAAAACCTGTTGCTGCCATTGTCTGATAGTTGTAAAGTGCTTGATCATGGCGGCAACAGCACAAAACACATATATTCTCCTGGGGGTAACAAGTGCATTGTGTCCCGTATACACACTTACATATACTTGTGTATGTCCTGGCAAACACTCTAAAAATGTCAGATCCTTTAGTGGTAGTTTAGGGTAGTTTGTGCTGTTGCGCCTTCTCAAATGACCGTTGCGTGTTTGAATTTTGTTGCACACACACACACACACACGCAAACGTAGACACAAAAGGAGGGCAGCTGCATAAAGGACAGTTGGGTAGATACAGGTTGAAAAGTTTGTCCTACGATGGAGGGCTTCCTTGATTTCTTCTTATCAACGATTGCTTTGGTTAGAGATCAGGGATCAGGATCGTGGACAAGGCACTATAAAGCCAATGGCTTGCACAAATTAATAACTAATTGCAATATGTTTGTGCTCCCCCTTTTCTAACCACATTAGGTTAGGGAGAATAATGTGACCGTTCCACGTAAGTGACATAAAAACGCCAACGCTTGTCAATACTAAACTAAACATCTGCCATACACCCCCAAAGGCGAACCCACGAAATGTGGTAGTGTAAACGTAAAAACGACAACAAAACAAAGAACAACGTGTTTAGACATCGTCGTCAAAGTCCCTCAATGCCCTCCAGCCAGCTGGCAAATTGCGTAGAGACCAACGAATTTTGATAAACACAACAAATGTTATGATGGCCGATGGACCTTCCTCCGCCACTGCTGCTGCGGCGTCTACGATCTTCGTAATGTCTGTCGGCAGTGGTGATGATCTCCAACACCCAACAACCGGTTTTTTCCTTGTGTGTGCGTTTGCATGGAGTAGAGGGTGCTCCAAGCTTCATCTCAACAGACTGGCGAGGTTTTGTTGGTGTTCTGCACTTCGAAAAACAAACATTGCCGATCTTTCTTCATATGTGCTTTGGGTGTTTCGTATGCAGACAACGATGATTAACGAAAATCTGACGCGTCTGTCTGACCCGGCTTGCCTATGTCTGTGGGGCCACATGAAATTATTCCGTAAATTGTTGTGGGGACGAACATCAAATGGTCGACTGTAGACTTTGTCATTAAAATTTACGCGCCCATTTTCAACCCACTCATGCTCCAAACACTATCTGCGAGTGTGGCGTACTGTGTGGATTTGAGTGTGGTTGTTGGTGTTTTTATTTTATTTTTGAGGCGGATGTTTACAACAACCAATGACACAGCTAAAAGCACTAGTATGGTGAGTGCCTGATGATGTCCCGTCAAATCCACGAAAAAACGAGGCTGCGCTCTCGCCCCCTAATTTAGTTTTTTTGTTTTTGCATTGATAGTTGTGGGCGCATTTTCAAAGAACTTTTAAACTCCGTGATCGCAATTATGATTAATCAATTGCGCCGTAGGATTGAATGAAGATGCACTTCTTCGGAGTCATTCATTTTGCAGGTACCTATGACTACTTTGAAAATGCTGCCCCTGTGTGCTGTTTTTAGGTATAACAACGCAATTGTCGTATGCACCCTCCGGGAAGCTTTATCGACGGATGTTTGTTTATACATTCGCAGAAAGAAATTAAATGCAGTTCCGATTTTTCAATATGGCTTTTGTCTCTCTTTGCAGTTACAAGGAATTGGCAGCAGCAACATCTGTAGTCAGAGTTATAAAGGATTTTGCAAAGCATCAGCAGCGTTGACGCTATGGCAACAGTAATACCACCGACCTCAAATGTTGAGGCCGCATATGAAGACATGTTTAAAGAAATCACAAGAAAGTTATATGGAGAAGAGACCGGAAATGGCTTGCATACATTAGGCACCCCGGTAGCACAGGTGGCGACCACAGGACCCACAGCGGCACCAGAAGGCGAACAGAGATCATTTACAAATTTGGTAAGTGTAAAGTGGCGCAGTCGCATGCATTTTTCTCATTTGTTGCTTTTGGTTTTTAGCAAATCGATCGTTCGACTCAGCCAACCATTGAGTATGAACATAATACAAGTAATGTTGTTGGTACAACAACAGCAGGCTCGACAACATCAGCAGCAGCTGCTTCTGCGGCAGCTGTCATTGCGGCCGCCACAAGTCAGCAGAATGCCACAAATGTGGTGATTCAGCAACAACCTGAGGGCTCTGTCGTCGTTACCACAACGACAAGTGCAGGTGGCAATTTCAAATCCGAAGATCACCTGAGTACGGCATTCGGTTTGGCAGCATTGATGCAGCAGAACGGATTCGCAACAACCACCGGTACAATTTTGAGCAGCCAAGCCATAAATAAGGTCATAACCACGGCAGCTGGTAGTCAACAAGCTCAGCAGCAACAACAACAACAACAAATGTCAGGAGGAGATCAGCAGCAACAAGTTTGGAGCGAGGGGGTCCAAGACCAACAACAGCAACAACAATCTCAAGCAACGCCTACCACCCAAATCGTTCAATGGACTACAACTCCTAGTGGCAAACTTCAAAGCTATTCTACCACCACTGCGCAACCACAAACTCAGCAGCAGCAACAACAACAACAATCGCAACAACAGGTCTCAACTCCCAAGTCCAAGTAAGCTAGGTGTCCTCAAACAATGGACCAAAAGAATTTTGTTTTTCGTATGCACAATGCAGGCTCAATTTTGTAATTATTATACTTCTACTCGCCAGAATCTCATCAAATAATTGTTTCATTTTTGAAATTCTAAATTTCCAAGCGCTAACGATAATTGAAATTGAGTTGCATTGTTTCAATGGAAAACACACAATTTTCCGCCAAATCAAAACCACTCTTTTAATAAACCCTCTCCCTTTCTCTCTTCGACAGAAACAAAAACCGCAATGATCAAGGGTCATCACCATCCACCGGCACGGCTGAAGTAATCTATACTAGTCCCACAGCGACAGGTAACAACATAAGTCAACAGCAAACACCTCAAAGCAGTGCAAACACTTCTAGTTCATCGACCACCTCCACAAGTTCTTCGGGTGGCAGCTCTGGCGGCAGCAGTAGTCGCAAAAAGTCTCATCATAACCAAAACAGTCAAAATACAAACAATAGCAATGGCCAATCCCAGGTGCAGAAGCGCTACGCCTGCACACATTGTCCGTACTCAACGGACCGCCGAGATTTGTACACACGCCACGAAAACATCCACAAGGATGAGAAGCCATTCCAATGCTACGCTTGCCTCAAGCAATTTAATCGTGCCGATCATGTCAAGAAACACTTCCTACGAATGCACCGCGAAATGCAATATGACATTAACAAGACGCGACGTCATGTGCCGTCGAGCAATTCGAGCGGTGGCCATCACCATGGCGGCGGCCGAAGCAATGTCACCATCACAGCGGTAAATACTAGCCCCAGTAATTTACATAATGACGGCAATGCCATTGAACAAAAACCTATAATCTTCCAGACACAGGCGAATGTCAATTTGGAACAAGCCTTCTTGGAACAACAGCGCCAGCCCACATCGTCAAGTCTGAGTATAGCAGAGACCATTGAAGCGGTGGCCACAGCTACTGATGTGCCCTTGCCCCAGCTGAAACAGGAGAAAAACGATGATGGGACCTTGGTGGGAGGCCAGACAGCCAGCGTGAAGCCAAAGAGGGAGAAACGTTTCACCTGCTGCTACTGTCCTTGGTCTGGTGCCGATAAGTGGGGCTTGAAAAGGCATTTGAATACACACACAAAACCGTTTGTCTGTCTCCTGTGCGATTACAAGGCAGCCAGATCGGAGCGTTTGGCCACGCATGTTTTGAAGGTGCACAACAAGAGGGCGTGTAACAAATGCTCATTTTTGGGAGACTCTTTGGAGGAATACCAGCAACATTTGAATGAAGTGCAGTAAGTATTGGAAAGAAAACAACACGTCGCCATCTAACTGATCAATAAGCGTAAAGACCCATCTAACATTTATCTACTGTTCTTCTTCTTCTCGTTCCCATCCTTTCTACTCCTTCTTCTTATTAAAAACACGCAAAGCCCAACAGCACCATCGTCGCGTAGCACAAACTCTTCAAACAATACCAATAACACGACTACTAACAACAACTCATCCAATAATCTGAATGTGTTGCGTACTATTGGGAATACTTTAGGAAATAACAACCAACTAAATCAATTTCAGAATAATAACTTTAGGTAAATCAAAAAAAAAAATCTGGCTAGAAACAGGACATTCTTGTACTTTTCTTTGTTTTTGTGCACAAGAAGCGACTTCCCTTAATGCTCTCTTTGAAATTCTCCTCAGTGTCAACAACGTCTCGACGACAGCAAATGGCAATTCGGTTACGATCTATACCACCACAACCGATAACCAGGGTGGTAACATAACGGCAGGAGGACCCCTACAGGAGATAATTGTAAATCCCACATCGATGGTGGGCTGGCGTCTAAGTGCTAATGGATCGCTCATACCACCTCATGATCTGCTAACAGGAGGCCTGCCAAATGCAGCAACTCAAAAAAGGGGTTCTGATCGGTTATTCCAGTATCTTGAAGCGGATGGAAGTGATCCAGAAGACTATGCGCGGTAGACATTCTTTGGTTCCTATAGTTTTCATTTGCTGTTATCTTGTTTTTGTCGTTGTTTTTTTTTTATTTTTGGTCGCTTTATGTTCGGGCTTCTCTTTATCCTTATTTTTTATTGATTTTGTTCTTTTAAGATTTTTAAATTTATTGCAACTCTGCATTCTTTTTGATTTCAGTCTCTTGAAAATGGACGCTATTAGTCGCAACACAGCTTCTGTCGCTCAGGATTTTCATAAGGCGGGAGGCGTGCAAGAGTTGAAACTACCAGCCAATCATCAACTCCTGTTTAATAATAAACTGCCCTCACAGTGGACGACTAAAGAAGCTGCTGCGTTGTTGCAAAGCCTGAGCAATGCCAACAACCTGAGCTATGTCTATCAGCAGCAACAGCGATCCAAGCATGCACATCATCAGAATGGATTTATGCGCCAACGACAACATTCCAATGGCGATGACAGCGAAAATACACCATCAACGGATACATCGACAACGAGCTTGAGCGATGACTTGTCGCCTTTGAAGATGGAACAGTCGAGAGCATCTGTCGAGCAAAGAAAAATTATTTCGTCGGCATTCTTACAGGATTCGCTATCGAATTCTTCGGAACATCATGGTCTAGACAGCAGCAGTAGCAGCAGCAACAACAACATCAGTCATCACTATCATGATGACCAAGAGAATCAAGAGCAGCTTATTAGATCGTCTCCCGCATACAAAACCAATAATTATTATATGAACAACAACAACAATAATAATAATATTAACAACAAGAACAACAACAATAATAATATAAATAAAATAAAGTCGTCCAACAAAAGTAGCAACAGCGCTAACAGCAACACAATGATTAACAACAACATTCAGCAGCAGCATCGTGTCGATCTGCACAACAAAGAAAACAATAGCAACGCAACATTCCTTACCCAAATGGAGTTCCAGAATCTCAATAAAATTGGCACACAATTCCAGAACTATGTCAAAGACATTATAAGCAAATACTATGCGGCGGACACGCCAGTCATGTTCCCTAATATGCCCATTCCAACGGCCACCGCCCAACAGAGTCAACAACGTCTGGTCACCCATATATCTCCAAAACGTAAGCGCCTATTGAGTGAAACGGAGGAGTATATAGAGTACTTAAAAAACAAAGAGGACATCACCTTGACCATAACGCCTAAGCTAGCGGACAGCAATAGTCAACTACAACAACAGTCACCAACGCCACAGTACACTAAACCACCTTTATCGCCCTTGAAGAGGGAACGTGATCTAGCTTCAGATTCTTACAGACGACATTCACCCAAAAAAACCATTATAATCACCTCCACTCCACAAGCATCGAATCAAAAGTCATGCAAGAAATCCATATCGCAACTGGCCACCCTGTTGCCATTGCTGGCCGATGCAGCTTCACAGCAGCAGTATTTAACAGCGCCCTTAGATTTTAGTAAGAAATCGTCGGAGCCAACTATTCCCCATATCAAGCAGGAATCGGATGCTAAGCCAACAGGGCAGGCTTTTTTAAACATCATTAATGATGCGCCAGCCATTAAAGAGGAACCTCAGAATCCAAACGAATCGCAAACTCCACAAATAGCCTACGCCGACGTCCCACCACCAGCGTCAGCCACAACACCCCCGTTGCATTGTTCTTACTTGGACAAACGCTCTTCACGCAAACAGGCACAGCCCAAGAAAATGCGCCTCTCACCTGATTTGGTAGTGGCTGCACTTCGGGATAAGTACCTTAATCGCATGGTCGACCGCATGAACAAGCTCAGCTGTGCAGATTGTGTTAAAATGAAAAGAACATCCATGTTGGTCTTTAATTACCACACGAAGGCCTCACTATGCCTGCATCGTCTCTGGAAGCATGCGGAAAAGCCAATTAAGTGTAAAATGTGTGGCGACAAGTTTAGGAAGAAATTTAGTTTAATTTTGCACACGATGCGGATGCATGAGAAGGCCACGGTTTGTTCTAACAGAAAGGGTTTCGACCATTAAATGGTTTTATGTGTTTCGTAGTCCTTTCACTCTTTTGCAAAGACATTTTCCAGCTTTCCAAAACGTATCATGAAGGTAAAATGTTGATTGTTATGGATGCCGTGGTCTTAGATTTCAGTTTCCCTACACAAACTACCGGATCAAATCTACATCAGTTGATCAGAACACCTTGTCGATGGGCCCAAAAAAGTACAAAAGTTGGGTTTTTTTTTGGAATCGTTTTAAAGAGTAAATCCGATCTTAATATAACTTAAACTATTTGTATGTATAAGACATTAAGTGTCGAATTGGGCCGCAATGAAAAGAATCCAAGATGAAACATGATTTCGTTTATAGCATTGAGCAACAGCGGAAATGCCTAAGCAAATCATCCCCACTAGGGCCCCAAGAAACACATATTACCGCATTTCCACATTTTAGACCACTTGGTAACCAAAAGTTTCTCATATGAGAACTTCTATGCATTTCCTGTATATATTTATTTTCTTTTATTGAAATAATTGATTGTATTCGTATTTTTTTAGTACATTTGCCTAAGTTTGTTTTCGAAATCAATGAAATGTGAATTGAAATTTGAATTTATTTTCAAAATCACAAAAATAAAATTATTTATTGAACTCAGTTATTTTAATATTATCCCCTTAATCATTTAACATTATTAATCACTGCTTCATCGAATTGAAATCATTTGCCTGCCTTAATGTCACAAATAATATTCAATAAATACAATTCATAAAAAATTTGGCCCAGCAATGGGGGGAGGTATAATGAGATATGGAAAGTTTGATAAGTTGGAATCTCTACCTCTCCACGCTTTTGTTTGATTGTTGCAGAATTGATATGTAGTGACTAGTCGATGTATGTCATCATACTTCGCACACCTTTAACGGGGATTTCAAAAGCATTTAAGTTACGTTTTAAGTTGTGATGTACCTGAAATATGATTTCGTCTAAAATAAAAATATTTACTGTATTGAAAAATTCACTAGTTATAAAACCCCCTGTCTAATTTAACTCGCATTGTTTTTCTTAAGCATTAGTTTGTAAGCGTCAGTATTTGATTTGCCATTTTCACGATTTAGTATAAGCTATTATTGCGATCGTTTGTCAGCCTTATGTCGTTTCGTATTTTTGATCATTTAAAGCTTTAATTTTTTTTTTTCGAATAGGTTCTAAGTTGAATTATGATTTATTAAGATACAACAGTTAGCACGTTCGAAACCACCTGCACATGAAATAAGAGTATTTGGGGCTAGCTTTTTTCTGCACCACTTATCCGTCACAAAGTAAATGTGGCATAATCATTTTCTCCTGTCCCAAATTTGGTGGTAGCAACTGTCAAACGCCCTTCGCACACCACACCAAACAATGACATTCATCAATCACAAAGACATTTATGGTATAAACTAAGGAACAAAACGTTTTAATGACTGAATGGAAAATTAAAAATATATATGTAACTTAAAAATGCAAAATTGCGTAATATTTTTTTATTTTTAGTATAAAGAAAATTATATTTATGTATGAAGGTTTGAAGTGTTAAAATATATAAATTAATAACGAAAATACAAAGACCGAACAAATTTTGGTATACAAAATTTCTACAAAAATCTAAACATTATTGACTTTTAGGCAAAATCAGAAAAACAAAACTAAATTAAAAACAAAAACTTATTTGTTCCCTTTGGCATAGAATGAATAAGAAGAAGAAAATAGTTTATAAAAATATCTATATATATTTTTTTTAATTTTAGAAAAATGTCGTCGGTTCTTACGTATGCCAAGAAATACATGCAAAATATTTGTACTTTTAATGTCCTTTTTTTTAATTTTATGTTGAAATACTCATATACAACAAGAAAACCAACAAACGCATATTTCTCATAAAATACGAAAAATCAATAAAAATAGTTAAAAAACAACATGAAACTTCTTTCATTTCGGATTTTAGAAAAGAGAGGGGGCTCATTATGTTAAATACGACTACAATGGGACATAGTCATCTAATAGAATGTAAGTGTGGTAATGAGGACTCTAAGTGGACCCTAAAAGAAATGTTGTCATCCAATGATAAACCCAAGTTATACAATTATATATGCATATCTAGTTTATATGCATTCGTCAGCCGGATTGATCACAAGATATTCTCATATCATAGAGCCTTTTATAATGCTTCTTTGTGGTATCAATTAAAAATCCGTAATAGATGACAGAAGTTGTGTTTAACTCCAAGTGTAATTAGGCGAATGTTCTTTGTATGCTCTGTAAAGTTTTTTCAAATTTCAGTTCCCCATCTAGGAAAAATCTCCCTAAATCGACCCACAAAGTCGATTTTTTACAAATATTTTGACCACCAGAAAAGATTTCGCGTATTGTAAAATGTAAACAGTATATTTGTTGGCTTTGCTAAATTTTATTTTTTTTAAGATCAATATCTATGAAAAACGACCAGGCAATTCCCCATCTTGTTGTATTGCCCTGGTGAAATTCGGTCGTGCAATAATTTGTCACATTTCGTTTTAACAAGGCGTCTATTATCTGACTTAGACTCGATTTAAGACCCAACATTGAGGTAAAGATTCTACAAAAGGTGTATCTTAATTTACATAAACATTCTCTACTATTCTACACCAACACCTTACCTGATCTTACTTTTGTACTTCACACTTTCTTCGATAATTTTCTCAACAAATGTTACTTCGCCGCCTAAGCATGAAAGCTCCTCCTTGAAACCTGTGGGGCAATTATGTGGCGGAGGTCGTTTGCCGGGATTTCGCGTATTACAAGGTGTGGATAATTGCGAATCGTAGAAGGGTGGATTGCACAGGCAAAAATTATATGGACCATCTATAGATATTCCAGGGGCGTTTTCAAACAATTCTTCAAAGATATTGTCATTTTGTTTCTGGGCAGATATGGTAATGATTTTACATAAATTGTTACGCTCAACATTCTTTGCTGCATACTCCAAGTTTGACTTATTCGTTTCGAGAGCTGTCATTGACCAACCGTTTTTCTTGGCGGCCAACAGCGAATAAATGCAAGAGGAGCCACAGCCTGTTCCGGGGGAAAGTGTTACCAAATTTAGACAACTAATAGAAAAGAATGCGTTGGAATTCATTATTCGTACCTATGTCAATGCCCTTAACCGTTTTGCTGTCCCAGCAAGAAATTAAATCCTCCAACCATAGAATATAGTTCAGTCGCAGTGGGAGCGTTGGTATAAGGCTGCCCGGAGCAAACTCTACATCTAAATCGAAGAACTCCAAAAGCAGTGTTCTTGTGAGTGCCTTCAAAGCAACTTCCTTTTTGTAATCAATGCACACCTTGCCGCTCAATTCCTTGAAGGACAAAAACCACATTATGAATGTAAAGCCAGTTTGGTATTCATTGGACAAAACTAACCAAGTTGCATACTTGACGAAATTCAGGATACTTAATAGCCAAGTCGGTGAAGTCCGGAGGTGTTTTGAATATATTCCGTGGATGCATCGTTGTAGGCGCGTCTAAAAAGTTCAAAACTTCTCATAAGCTGTGATTAATTCCCAAAAACAATGTCCTGTAATTGTAGTAGGAAATCCTTGAAAGATGGCCGGGAAACGATTCAGTAGGAATTCCAACAAGTCGTTTTTGGAGCAATATCTGTATTTTCTTGGTAAAATTAGGCAGGCAGTTGAAAATGGACAATCAGGTAAATCCAAAAGCCGGCAAAATATGAGCTAAGGTCTCTGCAGATCGAGAACGTCTAGAATTAACGAAGAAAGAGGCGCAAATTTAATTCCTAGAAGGGCAGAGTTGTTAGGACTAGACCAAATAAGAGGGCCCAATAAAAAATAAACACAGAGCAAAATACCGTGAGCTCTTTGTTTACGAATGAGACGTGAGGAGTGGAGCAATCAACCAGATAATTCATTAAATGGATCACGAAACTAGTGTACTGACTTCAGCGGCACTTATCATGCTGGACGGCAACTATACGAAACCGTCGATTGTGCGATTCATTGGTGCATGCCATATGGTCTGTTCCAGAACCTATAAGAATTCAGTAGTTTTACATTTTTTTCGTAGTAAAAGCTTTTACATCCTTACAGTTCTGGAACAGACCAATAGTTGGTAGATCTCAACAATTGTTTTGTTTTCTGCGGCCAATTGTTTTGTTTCCTGCGGCCAAAGCGAATACCTGTATTATTTTACCTCAAATATTCGATCAGTATTTCAATAGTTTTACGAATCTGTTGTTCCACCTTATTGTGCCGTCGTGTCATCCATGTCAGCGGCGTTTGCTTTCAAAGCAACATTAAGGAAGAAATAAAAAATAAAATGGTACGAATGTGCAACAATTCCATTTTTTCATGATTACCAGCTGCTATAGCATCTTCTACTCCAGTACATTCTTCTACCTTAATAGCAGCAGGGGGTCATTTTTAATTCAAATTATCAACCTTTTTGTTACGGATCAAAAATTGACGTCAAACAACATACATACAGAGTTCATGTGGATACCTCCTTGATCCGGTCATCTGTTTGGCAGTACCTCAACTCAAAAATATTAAATCGATTTAGTCCACTTTCTATAAAAATTCCCTAAGCCTTTACGAGACATTGATTACATTTATTAAAATTTTCAATTTTATTATGAAATTTACTAAATGTATTTAAGAATATGATATACATGTGGTATTGGAATTGGCTGGGGAGAACATAGTGTTTTGATTTCTGATGTTGGGATTGATGAATTGTAAAATACAATTATTTTTTGCAGTTGATGTGGCTACCTGCATTATTTTAAAAAGAAGTGGAATTCATTGACATTATCGGTGATATGGCATCTCTATACAAAATAGGGTTAGAGTTCCGTAGATCGGGCATATTTTTAGTTTGGTTTCTCATATTCTCCGTTTCTTTTCGTTCATAAATCTCGCTATCGTTTGTTTGCCATCTCTAAGGAAACATCGTGCATTGTTTGGAAATATTTCCATTTGGAAATACTCCAATTAATTAATTAATTATTTAGGCAGAATGTCTGAAAACAGCTCAAAGGACACTGTACTCAAAACTGCGATGACTTATATCTGTGGGGGTAAGCATTAATAGCTGAAGGTCTATTTACATGAATTATCCCAGTGCTGTGTGCAGAATATCGTACTTGAGAATATATTTAATTTGGAAACGTGTTGTTTTTTTTTCCTTCTAGAATGTCATCACGAGAATGAAATGCGGCCCCGTGATCCAATCCGTTGTCGTGAATGTGGCTACCGCATTATGTACAAGAAACGCACCAAGAGATGTGAGTTGACCAATTGCATTTTTGTGGGCAACGCGCTAAATACTGTTTTTTTCTTTCAGTGGTTGTGTTCGATGCTCGCTAATGTTTGCGTTTCTCCCAATATTAGCATATATTTTTAGAATTTAGTACTTTAAACATAAAATTAATAAAAATTTATGAATTCCTTTATATGTATGTAACTTAAAAGTATTATTGAACATTGATTATCCACGGAATGTCTGATAACTACCTCGACGCAAGTCCTAATCGAAAAATACATACTCTGTAATTTTTTCCGTTGATTGATGGTCACCACTAAGGTAAGGTAAGAGAAAAATTAAATGAAAATGGTTCCAAATTCACAAAAGTAACCGGACCAAGTCCAAAGAGTTAGTAAAGTGAACAATTTCTTACAAGTGTAACAAACGGGCAGATGACACCATGCAACAATTTCAGGTTGAGTGTGGGAAATTCCAAGTAAGGGTGACGGTAATAGGTCAATACGACAACACCGAATTGTTTTGAATTTTGTTATGGCTTATGGCAAAAAATGCATGTGCATGTCCTATATATTGGAATTCCCTGTATTCGGTATTTTTATTTATTTAACAGCATTTTTCAAAGGAATTTTTGGAAAATTTGCAAATTCGCTTCAAATTATGGAGGATATAAAAAGTTCCACGTGGCCGAGCTTACTGCTTTTTTACTAGTTTTTAAAATAAACTTAGAAGTGCGAAAAATGGATGAAGTGCTGAGATGGTCAGAATTGTGTGTTTAAAATCGATCCATTGAAACAGCAATAAATTTTAAGCGGCAAAATTCACACAACTTGAGAAAAAAGACCTGCGGGTAGCTCTGGAACCCCTATATTGTACAATGACTATAACAAGGTTCATGGAGAAGTAAATGTTGAATGGCTTTGCATTGGTAAATGACACCTGCGATATATACAGTCGGGCGAGCAACCTCAATGTTAATGTTTAACAACCGAAATGGTAGAGGGAGAAGAAAATGTTGAATTGTTTGAAGAAATCCATTTTATTCGTTTAAAACTTACCTATATATTTTACCCCCGAAATGGTTTCGGTATTCGTCTTTCTGCGAACGTCACTGATCCCAAAAATGGGCGTTGGTCAGCCGATGTCCTTCGCCATGAAAACCACAAATTGCTCCTCTAGGAATACAAACAAATGAAACACAGACAATATAAGGTTTCTCTAATTCATGTTTATTTCAAGTTGGAAATTTTCTCAATTTGTATTCATTTTTGCTTAGATTATTTTTATTCAAAAAGTGTAGTACCTTTGTTTAAGATTGACAATATGTATGTGTTTTGTTTAATGTTTTAGTTCGCAAATTGTTTTTGTTTTCCAAAAAGTTATTGACTCATTTAAGAATTGTTTGCAACTTAATTTGTCCTTCACACTTCAGATGGGATAACTACGCGGCTAAAAATTCTGTAAATCTAGGAACAAGCTGTATTCCGTAATAGTTGTTTGATTCTGGAATAATGTTTTCACTCAAATGAGAACCAATTCGGTGAGATCTGAAGACTTACGGCCCGCTTTGTGAAAATCAATTAAAAATCTAAAAATGTCTAAAACCCTCAGTTAATTAAATTCATCTGTAAATTGGTTGCAGTTTACAATTCAGTATGTTGTCTAAAAAATGTCGCTTTAATTAATTAGTGCATAAATTTTTAGGTTCTCCTCTAAATTGTTGTGAACCTTTAGAAACTTGGTATGTTAGAGTAATTTCTGTTGGGTTAGCTCCTTTTCTTGTTTTATTTTGTTCTTTTTTTCTGTATTTTTAGTAAAAAGTGCATCGTAATTGATTTAGGCAATTTTGTGAGGAAATCATTACAAAAATTCTATAATGTTAAAGCAAAACAAAGTAAAATTCTCATATTTCTTTTCCCCTTTTTGGCATTTGTCTTCTATTAACGCTAAAATAACTTCCTTCATTTTAATATCGTATATATTTGTATGTTTTTATTTGTTTTGTTTTTCACTTCAATGAAAGCTCTTATAACTTTATTAATAAGAATTTAGTAAATTATTTATCATTTAATCTTCTTTAAAGCTGTTAACGTTAATCCTAATAAAGAGTGGGCTGAACTTACATAAGCCACAAAACAATTTGCAAAGTCAACAGATTTTCTACAGTAGAAAGAGTCGTAAAGAAACAAATAAATAAATAACTTGTTTTGCAATTATTTTCAGATTTTCTGATTGAAAAATGAATCTAAACTGATTATTCTAGTATTTGCATCTTAAATTAAAGTAGTTTAACCTTTTAAACCAGGTGCTACAAAAGTGTCCCTGTTCGTTATGATGTATGCTTTGTGAATTTTTGGGGAATATTCTTTCAATTTAGTGGTGAAATACTGTCATCAGTGTGTGATGTATTATCCAACGTGGCACTGAATTAAAGCTTTCATTCTGAATTCACATTTTCCAAACAGGGTTCGCAATATAATCAGTCACTTTCAATGTAGGTCTGGGTTGTGGCACCGAGTTAAATACATTTGAATATGCTATTGTTTGGGAAGAAAGTTGTTGGGACATCGTACTTTGTCATTCGGAAAAAAGACACAAGGCGCTAATAGATCAGGAAATAATGTCGGTCTGTTGCTTGCATTACCAATGAAAACAAAAAAGAAACCCAACAATGCGATCATTAAGTTTCTTCTTATTCAATGGGTTGGGTTTCCTTGCGGGTTTTATGGCCGCGGAATGAAGCTTGAATTTTAGTAGCCGCTTTATTCAACTCTGGATCACTCAGGTCAATGTCCAACTCTTCAGCAACCTTCTTGGTGATTTCTTGGATATCAACATCTTCGGGTGTATCCTTCGCAACCAGTTTGCGTGTCAAATGGCCGCGGAAAGTGGCCTGAATTTTCAAAGCAGCAGAGCAAAGTTCTACAAACAAAATAGAAGAATAAGAGGAGTGTTAGTTGAAACTTTTAATTTCATTTTGTCAATAGATTTGTTAAGATTGCAAAATTGTCAATGTGTTAAATAAATAAAATTTACAAAAATTACGCGAGGTTCTAAAATAGTTGAACAAATAATTCCTTTTTTGTAGTCATTTAGATTTCCCTTTCCATTGGAGCACAGATTTGCTCGTTTTCACTCGGGAGCGAAACTTGCTCGCGGCAGGATTGCTCGAAGAGTGAGAGTTTTTACGAAGTTGAGTTTAACCAATTTTTTGTTCTCTGATATGTGTGCGAGTAACGGGTTTTGACGTTGATGTTAGCAGAAGAGAAGGAAGAGTGGGTGAGTGGGGGAAATGGTAGGTAATTGTGTATAGAGAATACACATACACAGATTTACAACAACGGTATTACAAAAACAAAAAGTGTGCTAGGCAATTTTCCTGACACAACAACAATGTGTGGCGTGATTACCAGCTTCTAATTGATTGGTTTTTATCATGGTAGAAAAATTCAGGTAACAGCAAGTGTTGTACAACAATCGTAACAACAACCACATACAAATTTGTTTTTGTACGTAATACAAGTGTCGAAGTTATGTGTTCAAAAATGTAAACAATATAATTAATTTTCAATAAATTATTTTAATTTCAAAAATATACATTTTTGGAATTGGTATTATTAGATTGAAAATGCAAAAGAAAAGTTCTTAAAATATTTAATTTTAATACTTCCACATCATTCCCCCGAATGTATAGTTTTTAGCTGTTGGTCCCAATCTCTCAACACTTCAAGCAATCGCTAGAAAATCGTGGAAAAGGGAACATGCCTTTGAAGTTGAATCCAAACAGCGTACATACATAAAGTATTCTACATTTTGCAATTTTAGGAAACATGAAATATACGAATATATTATCCAACGTGTTTTTTGCGGTTAAGGAACAGCGACCTTAACCCATGGTAGAAGAATATAGGTAGACGCGTCGACACAGCTGCTGGGACAATGAACTGTCAAACCAATTTTGGAATTGAAAATGTTGAATGAAAAATTATCTAAATTTGTAAAAATGGTTGAAAAACGCGAATTATAATAGCCTCCGACTGACGTAGCATAAGAAAACATATAAAAATCTACCTCAATTTGAAAAAACATTTAAACCTTTTTGGCATATCAATGTTCCCAAGCGTTGATGCATCTACCTGTATTCTTCTGCCATGCCTTAACCGCAAAAAAGTTTTATATCAAAAATTTTATATAAAAAAGGGTATACTTATTGTATATCAAGAAATTGAATTAAATCACAAAACGTCATATCGAGTTTGACACTAGTATTACTATAGAGTCAAATCAGCTGGGACTTGCTGTTACTTGTAATAATTATACCATGGGTTTTTATGTAGCTTTTTAAGAATTGTCATCTAATTTTGACAGTTTTACTAATTTTCCATTCCTTACTTTGTGGGTTAAGTATCCTTTAAAAGCAAAACAATAGTTCTCAACTTTATATTTTTTATAAAACAATCCCTTCTCCTGCTTAACAGGTGTACACAAAATGTTTCGCCTCACAGAATATAAAATCTTATCTTTGTTGCATGGTCGGCCCCGACGGACTATAGAATTTTTTACTTGTGTTTCATTTAGAATTGGGCCAATCTAGTTCGATCGAATGAACAAGTTTCTTATCTAGTTCCGTGGACTCCTGACATTTGTATGACAACTCTACGTATGACTGATATGAAATATAAAAAACTTATGAAATAAGTCATACGTTAAGGAACTGGTGTACCGCACTATGAACTAGATTGGCACAACTCTACTTTCATTACATCGCTACTATCATGTTTTTACTGTTTTTTTCATTCCGATCAGACATTCTGTTTGACAAAATCTGGAATGAATAACACCATTTACTTTTAGAAGATAAGCTTTGGGATGGATTACAATTTCTTAGAGAATTTCGGGGTCAAAGAACGAATGACACTCACGTTCGTCGGAATGCAATCAAGAAACTCATTTTGTTTGTTTAGTTTCTAGGTCGGCCTTCATTTTTAAATCATTTTATCAATTGGTTTTCGTCCTTGCACAATTCTGGACTCGATTTGTATAGCTTTCTGCTTTGCCATTCAGTAGAGCCATGCGTGTGAGGCGTGCAAGTGGACACAACGTACGTCATACGCCTTCCAGCTATTTGCCAATCTCTTTCCTGACATGTTGGACACATATATACATTCAAGGGTATGGTTTTGCTTCCGGCATTTCCTGCCTTTCGCTTTTGTTTACAAAATATTTTTGACATATGTCAAAAATTTAAAAACAATGCATGATGTGTGTGCATCTTGTTTCGTTCATGAGAAGGACAAATTTGCTTTCAAACTGAGTTGAATATTGGATGTGGCAAGGTTCTACATGGATCGAATGTGTTGTCTCATATGTGTGACACTGTGCTAAAACAATATGTTCTGTGAGCGCAAAAATATTTTACATGACTTTTTTGTTAACTTTTTTATTTGGACATTTGTTTAACATATGTACACATGTATGTATGTGGGGTACATGCATGATTTTTTGCAACACACGCATGCGAATTTTCTGTAGGTACAAAGCGGTCCATGTATAGTACAAATATGTGCACACAAGTGTACATACACGTTACAAGTTCATATCAAACAGCATTACTATGTGCTTATGTGCAAGCCCGTTCTTGTCCAATCTCTAATATCTTGAATACACATTGCTTTCGTTCAACATTTGCTTTGTGCCATTCACTGGCTGTGTCATCGGCATCAATTAATTGCATTGAGTATGTTTTATAAAACCCACTGGCGTCGGCTAAAATCGATATTAAATGCCCAAATACTTTCGGTACGGGGAGAAGAGGAGACGCGACTGTGGAATGGAATAGAAATTTAGCTTCTCTCTCAGTAGGCGATGAAATTTAATCAGTCGTTAAGCCTTAGCGACAAAAACTTAAAGCAATGAAAAAAAAAAAATAAACAGAAACAAATTTTGTTAATTTTTATTTCTTTTTTTCACAATAAAATTTTGAAAGTTACCGCATTTTGTCGGTTGGACATTTCCACAAGTTGGAGAATTCCACCACCGAGGGAAGTCCCTTTGACAAAAAGAGAGAAAGTGAAAAAACACAGACAACTCAGTCGCTTTTTAAGCCAGCATTGGATTTCAATTTCCAAATTCATCATAAAAATGTGCCATGGTTTGAATTACATTTCTTTATGAAGTGAATCCATCATTTTGTCCTTGACAGTATTCACGCCGAGTGGCAGAACAAATTGCATATTCATGCACTAAGTGAAGCACCCTCAATACATGCTTGTACCACAAGGCTGAGCACGTTCAAAGAGATAGGAAAGGACATGCGGAAATTTGTTGTTGTTTGGTGTGATTGTGAAAATTGTCTTAAAACAAGCTGTACTTATCTCTTGTGGCGATATTCGAAAGAAAAAATGTCGTAGGTAATGATACACACACATAGAGACTGTAACTAGGTACCATCTCTCAGATGTTGTCAATATTTGTAATGCCAGAGAGTGTTCCATTTCCCATATCCTTTAGGATCTTGTTTGTGTCACCGTTCTGCCAGCAGTTGGAAATTAAGCGCAATTAAATGTTTTCCACTTTGCTCGCCTAAGCAAAACGAATTTTTCCAAGTGGAACATATCGGCAAAAGAGGAAACTCGTGCTGATTTTCACACATACACACACACACACACACTACTACATATGAAAGTGTGTATGTCTTCATATGCTGTAGTTGCAAGAAGTAAATGGTTTAAGAAAACGAGTTAGGAGAACCATTTCAGCAGAGTTTGCAAATTCTTAGTGGGGTGTTTGCTCTGTAAAATAAGTTTGATCAAATTTTTCAGAATATATTCATCAATAAATTTAATTCATCCATTTACAAATTTCATTAGAGAACAAAGAGTCCTATGCCCGATAGATGATTTGACAAACACAACGTCCACTCCCTTACCATCTGGGAAAAATGTTGTATAAAGACCAAGGATAACGATAGCCTGTTTGGCACTGTTCGTCCGTCGTCATTTTACTTTTCAGAACAACGTTCGAGTGACTCGAAGACCTGTTCATTTGAATATTTCCATGTTTTTGAAAGAGATAGGAAAGGACATGCGGAAATTTGTTGTTGTTTGGTGTGATTGTGAAAATTGTCTTAAAACAAGCTGTACTTATCTCTTGTGGCGATATTCGAAAGAAAAAATGTCGTAGGTAATGATACACACACATAGAGACTGTAACTAGGTACCATCTCTCAGATGTTGTCAATATTTGTAATGCCAGAGAGTGTTCCATTTCCCATATCCTTTAGGATCTTGTTTGTGTCACCGTTCCGCCAGCAGTTGGAAATTAAGCGCAATTAAATGTTTTCCACTTTGCTCGCCTAAGCAAAACGAATTTTTCCAAGTGGAACATATCGGCAAAAGAGGAAACTCGTGCTGATTTTCACACACACACACACACACTACTACATATGAAAGTGTGTATGTCTTCATATGCTGTAGTTGCAAGAAGTAAATGGTTTAGGAAAACGAGTTAGGAGAACCATTTCAGCAGAGTTTGCAATTTCTTAGTGGGGTATTTGCTCTGCAAAATAAGTTTGATCAAATTTTTCAGAATATATTCATCTATAAATTTAATTCATCCATTTACAAATTTCATTAGAGAACAAAGAGTCCTATGCCCGATAGATGATTTGACAAACACAACGTCCACTCCCTTACCATCTGGGAAAAATGTTGTATAAAGACCAAGGATAACGATAGCCTGTTTGGCACTGTTCGTCCGTCGTCATTTTACTTTTCAGAACAACGTTCGAGTGACTCGAAGACCTGTTCATTTGAATATTTCCATGTTTTTGAATATTGAATATTCCATGCTTACTATTTGTGGGCACCAGGTGTATTCACATAACAATTTCAACAAATTATAAAAGTTCCGACACTAATGGTTATCGCTTTTTATTTGGTCTGCACAAAATGTAATCACTTTTACTTTATTATCTCTTCAGCCTTTATTCGCTTTGATATTTTCGAAATTCCATAAACATTGGGATCAAGACAACGCATTCCGCAAAGTGCGCCAGGCTTTAGCTCAGATTTTGGCAAGTGGGGTTTTCGCATTTAATTTTGGAATTTAAATGGGATTTCGAAGCTGGAACGAACACACTTCACGCTTTACCTTGCAATGGCGTGTTTTGCCCAGAAATTCCAAATGACCACAATGAGCAAATTTGTGGGACGGAAATTTGTTTTTTTTTCTACGCCGCAGTTAGCTACAAATAATTTGTCACGGTTCCCATGTATATGTCGGCTATCTACAGATATATATGCATATGGGTGTATGTGTGTGCAAATGAAAAAGTTAGTTACAACGCTGCTTGAGGCCTAACTGCCAACTAGCAACGCTTTACGGGTGTACCAACCATAATCATAATAAACATTTTCAGCTTGTACCATGTTCTTGACCCGCAAGCCCACGCAGCTAAAAGAACGCCACTTCAAACAGTAACACAGGCTGCAACAGCAGAGAGATGGCAATTTAAATTAGACGTGTTTAGGTTAGAAGGCAAAACAACGGAAACGGCCAGGACAAAGAGGGCCATTGGAATTTATTTCGAGCAAACTTGGGCTTCTTTAGCGAGCACTTGGAAATGTTTTTTTTTTTTTAATCAGGCATAGTGAGCTGCTATGCCATACGATGAATGTATGCATGTGTGTGGTGTGGTGTTATTTTGTGTGAGGCGAAATGCCGCTTTCATTTTGAGTGCGATGTTATGAGAAAGCACACACGTTGACACTTACACATACCCAACCCAACGCAAACCATCACACGCATGCAAATAGAATTGTTCGGGGCAAATGATAAATGTTTTCCACTGATGTTGGAGAATTCGCCTGAATGTGTAACGCTAAAAATGCGGCATGTTGTGCCTTTGTCATGTCATTTGTTGTGTTGGATAAGTGTGTGTGTGTGTGTCTTTTATTTAATGTTTTACAAAACCATGACGATACAGCCTTGTACGTCTTATACACGATTATGAACACACACATACACACACATGTCTAACGCAAAACACAAAGAACAAAAAGATTCCTAAAAATAAACGGGGCGAAGGATGTACAATTATGGACCACTAACAACCGACTCGACCACAATAATCGATAATAGAGTAAATTAAATAGTGGTCTTCAACATCAACTTTAGCCAAAATAGATATGAGAATCGGAAAATATCCACACGCTAAGTGTCTTTTTAGTTCCCAAGGCATTGAATAAACTCTGAAGCGTACTTCTGCTCGGTTTGTCTGGCAGATCTGATTATTATTTGCAGATGCAGACACCGAGATCTAGAATCAATACAGTCCCCAGAATCGATTGCCTAGGCTATACAGGGTATTTTCGAACCGACTAGGATGATAGATGATATTTTTAATTATTCGGTTCAAGCAGCATCCTGGCCGTGTATACATACATGGCTCTTGAACCTATCGCATGCCACATGAGTTGTACAATGTTCAATCAATTTTGGCGTTTACCCTTTTTATTATCAGACGGCGAAGGGGACGAACATATGCATGATTGCCATAAACTGTCTCATGGCATTCAAAATAGTGGTAATGAAAACAGATTTTCCATAATCTCGCCTCCAGCCCACTTTACAACGTGACACAGTCCAGCTTTGGTTCTATTTGAACCATATTCGGTAAATACTCAATTACATAACCCTTTTGCTGACACTCCTGTTCTTTTTGTACACTGGACGTCCACTTTTGATTTGATAACCTGACATGAACTCATTCCACACATCATGCTGTTGTGACAATGTTATGTCGTTCGTCCGCACAGATGTACATATCTTTTACATATCCGAATTAAATATCCGAAAAGGCGAAGTATCTATTGGAGAATATACTTAAACGTTAAGCAAACTTTTTCGGCAATAATAAAGATAGAGTCTACTCTTTGCTCTGCACTCCCCCATCTTTTTTTTGTATTTTTTTTAATCCCGCTCTATAGGACACACATATGTTGTGACATAATAACATATCGTTTCCTCTTCTATGTGTTGGTTTGTTGTTGTTGTTCCTGTGCCCTGTTACCACAAACCACTTGTAATTTTGTACTTAGAAACGTTTAATATTCGTTTGTTGTAATTCCTTCAGTTGTTTTCTTTTTCTTTTTTGCAGTTTGAAACTGCTAAAACTTTTTGCGCCCTGGTTTTACTTTTTGTGGGAGTTTGATCACAAAACAAATGCCAACAAAAACAGACGTTATTGTTTAGAGCTTCTTCGACATACTTTTTATTGTAACATGTCGAAGCAAAACAACCGTAACTTCTACCAAAGTTGGATGTGCGAGTGTGTCGGTGCACTTCCTATGGCACATATAGCATTCTGTTTTTTTCTAACGAATCTCCCTTAACATATCCTTGCTTACATACCCGTAAATTAGTCGGTTGTGTTTGATTGTTTGTGAATTTCCTTTGACTCTTTACTCGGAGGAATGCAAATAAAAGCCTTGGAAAGATTTCACAATTGCATTTGTAAGAAATTATCAATCTGTGGTTTTTATTGAATGGTTGTGGTTTTACTTTTCAGCTTAAAATTCGGATCTTGTAAACGCACACATACATATACATATATATATATGTCATTAAATACTTTTCCACAATATCGTAAAAACCATGGAAGAGGAAGCAACTGCTGTTCTCACGATTAACCCTTCCACCCATTTGTGTTTCGAAAGATAATTGGCAATTGTGGAGACAATTCAGGCCATATCTGAGTTATTTAAATTATAATTATTGGCTAATGAACGTCGTGAGAGTCGTGTGAACTCAACACCTGGAAGCGTGAAATCGCCGTATTTGTGTTTGTGTCGGTCCGGTAAATTATTAGTTCGCCTTCCCCATCGATGCTCGACATTAACGGGGCTAATGGTTCAATTTGTGTGGATATATGTGGACATGGGTCAAGTTTAGCATTGACTCTACACGTCTATGGTGGTATGTAATAAAGCAGTGTATAATGTAAATTGTCTATTTGTTATGCTTTAACGCATGCGCATGGCTCTGTTTCCATATAGAAATGAGCTAGAAGACCAGCATTGGCTCAGATTTTATTTTTACTATTTTCTTATAAGCTTCGATCTTATACATATGGGATAATTTGTACGACACATAATATGCCGCATAGAAATGGCTTTCATTTAGGTATATGCTCTGTACGCAATACTTATGCGATACTGATCATATGTGGCCTGGGACATCAATTTTGTTACGAAATACACCTCTGTTAAATATGTGGAGACACTGCTCAGATGGAACATTTTACTGCACTTGTGGATTTGACGCCTCGTCCAAACTTAGCTTTAGTAGAAAGGTTTCTCGCAATAATTTCTTATTTTAGACCCCATTTGTGGTTACCGAAAACCCTAGTCGGAAATTGTTTTCAGGATTTATTTCCCTGCAATACATCAAAGTGTGTGTTATACAGAAATTGAAATTGAAAATTGAATTTTTCACTTCTTCAGTTCTGACACGCCAAGTGCCGTGAGATTACAGCAATTGTTCAACTTTGCTCTCCAGGCATTTGTATGCATTCGCGTCAGTCTGCTTGTTTAGAGATGCCATCGAGTTTCATGTTTGCAATTGTCAGTTCGACAGTCAGTCCGTCAGTCAGTCATTCAGCATACCAATTGCGCGAATACATAATGGAATGTGGCCACATTCATATTTACCAAAGACTTTATGCATCTCCCCTCCCTCTCTGTAGTTTAGTTGGTTTTTTCTGTTTGTTTGTTTTTTTGTTTTTGTGTAATTTAGCCTCATTTAAGTGAACAATTCATTCCCTGACAAAGCGATTCAAACTCAAGCTCAATTCGCACTGCCACATTGCGAACGTTTTGACAGCCTTCAAAATGAGACAACCGCAACACTAAACAGAACAGAACTACAGCAGCTATTCACTTATCATTTTGGCTATTGTATTCATGACGTTGGGTGGAAAAGAAATATTTAGCCTTAGCCTAACAGGGAATTGGAATATGTCGTCGCCAACTATTCCTTACAAACATGCAACAATAGACTAGCTGAGTTGTTCGGGACAGGGACTTACCTTTGTCGTTGGGATCGAACTCAGCCTCCAATTCCTCTTTAGTCGGCTCGTTCTCTGTAGCGGCAGCAGCACCCGAAGCTGGAGTGTTGTTTGAAGAGGTGGCTGCACTGGTGGTCTCCGACTTCTTCATGGTGGCTCGAACTTTGTGTCCCCTAAAAACGGCCTGGATTTTGGTTGCGGCCTTGGCTGTAGAATAAAATCAAAAACCAAATCAATACACAGTTAATTTGTAATGCGACGAAATTGCATAACAGTAAAAATAATACATCTGTATGTGCGTGTGTGACGAGAACTTCAAAACTATAGATTTTAGCGAATAGCGAAAATTCAAATGCATAGAGATGTAGAGAATAACATGTGATGACGAGTTCAGACCAACAACAACGTATTATCGACACATTCTCACAATTCGTTGCGATTCCCTTCGTTCCCCCACTCACACAGCTATCAGCTGATATGGTTTTTCAAAGGAACGACTTCGGAATTCTGGATCAATAATTAATTATTCTTCAATTAATAGTCTCCTAAATATGCACCATTCCACTATCACCGTTGCTAATTGGATTTCATTGGAAAATGTAATCCTTTGCTCGTTCGTTTCTAGCTTCCAAGACCTATGCCGACGAGTTATTTCCATCTATTTATTATTTAAATTGAGATTGCAATCAATCAAGGTTTCCAAAAAGCCAATCAATTTTCCCCAGCCAGAGCCATTGTTAAGAAAGTCAACAGCAATCTCTTGTCTATATTCAATATAATTTAGCAAGTAGCAAGCACTCACGCTCACACCCCACTCTACTCCATTCGATTTCCTCTAAGAGCCCTGCACGCAATAGTGTTTGTTATTCGAATCACAACAAGCCGTCGTTCGCATGTATTTTTGTTGTGGTTAATTATTTATAAGGATTTGCATACTTTGGCACCTGATAAAATATTTATTTGTTTATCTATTGTTGTTGCTGTTGTTGTGCGGCATAAACACGCTATGGCACGCACTCAGACCCTATGTCTCAGCCACCAAATAGTGTGCCATTATGCGAATGTCATCATTGAATCTCTTTGGACCGTTAAGGAATGTCCATAAATTATTGAATAGTAAATACGAGATAAATTGACCCGCCATGGGGCATGGAGTCCGAAATTTATGAGTATGCCGTCCACCCCTGACCACAGCTGCCGAACTAGGTATGAAAGCGTAACAACATTTATTTAGCAGCGGAAGTATATGGAAATTAGGATTTTGTGCACGCAAGTGGCTGGGAAGGAATTGCCAGCCGCCCCCCCCCCCCCCCCCCCCCATTAAAAGTTACATTTGTGGATTTAGCATTTTTATTCCTAGACTCCGGTCCTTTAACAGTAGACATGGCTTTATTTTTTTTATTTTACTCGTTTTAATGGAAACAATAAAAGCTATTTCCGAGCTTTTCACAGGGAGCAGCAAATGAAGCTAACTTTTTAACGGCAATTGCTCCACGATACAATACATAAATTGTTAGCATACGTACGCCGGTCGGTTCAATAGAAGAATGCCACAATTAGGAAAGGAAAGTTTGAAATTCTCGAGATCGCTTTCTTAAATAGCGCACCGGTGGCATACCCAAGAGCTGACTGATGGACTCAATATAGGGACGAATAATGTAACTCTTTAGCAGAAGTGTTCTAAGACATTCGAAGATTGGAAGACTATAATTATCAATACTTATAGGTATGTTGGGAGAGCGAGCTTCACAGTTTAAGTGAATGTGCAATTTCCACATTTATAGTTATGAGTTCAGTTGTTGCAAAATACTTAGGCTTAATTCCATTTTAGTTTAATTTAATTCTTTGGTTCCTCTTCTATTGAGCTCGTCACTTGGGTAAACCAAAGTTTTTTTTTTGTCATAGGAGTTATTTTCAAAGAACTTCTGGGGAGGCAAAGCAGACAAAATGCAAGGCAACTGATGTGGATTGGTGGATCCTAGGTATTCCCTGCCTGTAAATATTACCATCTTTCTCCACCAATGAATAAACATTGTTTTTATAAAAACAACAATGGTGGAATTAAGCTTAACTATTTTGTAAGAACAAATTACTAAACATGCCCACACTGTTATGAGTTCGGGGAACATTTTTTAATGAATATAAAATAAAACTCAAGTGCAATCAACATTGGCACCTGGCGAAACAAGAAATAAATACTTAATACAAAACATTTGTTTAAAAGGAAAAAAATTGGTGACTGTAATGAAGCTGAACGAACTTGCACATTTGTACGAAACGGTATCAGCTGGAATAAGTCTTTCGTTTGTGGATGGTTTACATCCAGTGTTCCTTTAATGTGGGCCACAGCGAAACTTTCGCTAGTCTACATTTATGTATTCTACTAAATTCTGTTGAAGCGTGTGGGTGAGCTAAGACGATAAACTGTTGGTTAGCTTTAAATCGCTTCTACTTGTCTGTCAGCCCGTTTGCATACCTGCAGAAGTCTTATGTAACTTTTAAAGTTGTCATAATTTGTATCCTTTTCCAGCGATTGTGTAGTTTCGTCCTTTGTCTACTTCAAAGCTATTATCACCACCACGTTCAGTCTCTTGTTCTTCTTCCCCACATGAATGCTTTGCACGAGTAGCAACCAATGACGTTTTCCAATAAGTTATCCTCTGCAGTCTAAAGCTCTTGGCGGATGACACCGAGACATATACGTTTGTACGATATGCATTCATACCCAGAATTCCACATAGCCATTAATCCACCTTTCACATCGTTGGTTCCTATTGGTTGGCTGGAGGAAATTTTTATATTGGAGGATTCAAGCATCATTACAAGCCCGTTCGCCTCTGACAGCCGCCTTTTGTATACTCCTTGAGCTATTTTAAACCACAGGATCGTAGTTGGTTTACACCTGAATGCATTCATTCGTATATCCTAAACGAGTAAGAAACGCACATTGTCGAACTGTGATCCCGTTTGATGGCAATAGATGTTTAACATATATGTTCAACAGATGTGTGGGAGAACCACACCTGAATCTAAATCTATGTGACAACAAATTGTCACTATCTTTGATCGGTTACGTATGCGGCCTCACTCCAGATATGACCGTTATCTCATGGCTCATGTGGCATACAATATCCAAATTTGTACCGATTCTTACTGGATAGGAGAAAACAACAGTGAACATTTTCATGCGGTGTGTATTTTTTTTCGCAAGGATACATGTACATGGGACGTTTCTGGACTCCAACAGAAGTTTCCGTATAATGATTTTCAAAATAAATATGTAAATATTTTGACTTGGTACACATATAGGCTGTGTATTCGCCCAAACTGTCTGACTTGTTATTCGGACTACTTTATGGAAATACCATTCGATGATGCTTGAACACTTGGTTGTTTCCATTGAAACTATTGCGAAGCCCATGCAAGAAACATTGTTTCGTTAGTTTTTTTGCTGGGAAGGTCATAAATTCTTAAGGCCTTTCTATTCTTGTCTTGCCTTTTGTACTTTCGCTAGTCTTTAACATTTCTGAAGGTGTCTGCCGAATAAGAAATGATATGTCCTTTGTTGCAACTATTATATATGTATGTACACATACATACAATACCAGCGTATGTATGTATGTACATACAAACTTATTTCTCTTTTCTCTTTCACCACACTCCAATCTCTTTGACTCCTACTCCACAACCAAACGCCTTTGCCAAAAAAAAGAACCAAGTCAATAAAATTCAAGCTGCACGTAATGTGAAGAGTTTATTAAAAGTTCATGAATGTTGCAATAGACGTATGAAAGCATGTTGCCGGATATGCAATCAACCCCTGTATTGATAGACTAACAGGCAGGTAGGCAGCTTTGAAACCTCATGGGTAACGAGGACGAAAATACAGTCGTCATTTTAAATTCCCACGAGAAGTTTTGTGACTATCGACTGGAAAGTCCATAGTAATCAACAAAGAAACAAAAAACTGTATAAATCCAAGAAACTTAATATATATCCCGTTTTCTCTATTCTCTCGCAGGTACCCACTTAATTCTCGGGACACGCAACACAGCACAGCAAACACATTACCGGTCAATTTTGCGCTCATGCATTCGATGCTATGGTCTCTATGAGGCATTCTCTTCACTTCACAGGCTCTTTTGTCTACAATTAAATCATGGACTTTTAATTCAATAAACTCTTTGTCAAACAGCTACGGTGCAAAAGTGACGGGCAACACCTTGGCGCAGTTGCTGCCACTTCTTTGTTGCATATCGCTTCTGTGGTCCAAACCGAACAGTTCATTTTGGTCATTTGCGACAAATACATTTTTGTCTTCCGTTACGACGGACCGTGGGAGTGGAGAGACAGATGTTGGTATAGGGGCAGTGTCATTGATCCGGCCATTGAAGTGTACAGCGATGGGCCACACAAAACAAAATAAATATAGTAGAGATAAACATAACTATTGCCTATAGAAGCCACAATTCAATCCATCCGGCCCGCTTCTGCAGAAATTGTGGCACCAACTAAATTTCCTTCGACTAAATGATCCTTAGATTAGAACATCATTTCCCATTCGCCCTCTTCTGCATATTTATTCAAGCGCACAATGAATAATATTTTCCTGTTTCTGCCTTTACAATTCCAAGAGATTTCCACTTTGATATGGAAAGGATGTCGAAAGCGCAGCGACAAGGACAAGAAATAAACACATTTTCAGGGATTTCCGTGGGTGAATTGATTTGTTATCACCAACATAGGTAGAACGGCGAAGCACGTCAGCACGTCTTAGCATCGCCCTCATTATATAAAAATAAAAGTTTGTAACAGATATAATTGAAAAATGGTTTTAGTTTGCAGATACGAAATGACGTATTCGGGTTGATCCAGAGCTACGAACTCAATATCGTTCAATAATAAGGCACGAGCTTCGAATATGTGAAGTATTTTTCTTTTCATTTTTATTTTTGAGTTTCTTTTTTCCTTTTCTTATTTTGGCCTACAACACATGTTAGGATTGAGGCATGCTCGGGATTGGGTAGGGACCCTATGTTTTTCGCTATTACTTACTGAGTGATGTTTACAAAACGCTTAACAGAAAAATATGTGGATCGCCTGCCACACAGACTTACATAACCGATGAGTCGGTTATCGGCTTAGGGCTTGATCAAGAGATCTCAAACATTGTCCATGTCAAATTTCGGAAAAATATCACACCCCATGCGATATTTAAGGCATCATTCCATAACAATCCAGAATCAATTCCCATAACAAACCAGAACGACCTGATTTCATGTTACTCGGATTGGCAATTTTTAGGTATTTGGACCATTTTTCATTGGATCTGATAAAAAAAGAATTCTTACTTTTGTCAACATCCTTTCATACTTTCTGACATTTCCCTTCACAACTCAGCAGTGAATTCGCCATTCTCCGTTGGGTTATATTTCTGAAACTTTAAAGTCATTTTCGGAGTTGTGTGTGTGTAAAAGTTCTACAGTTGTGTGTGTGTGTGTAAAAGTCCTACAGTAGAGTGGAGGTGGCGTGAGGGAACACATTTTTCTTTTGTCATTTTCTGAGTGTAGCTTTTATAGCGAATTGTATATGTATATATTAAATATGTATGTATGTTTGTACATATACAAATTTGTTAAGACTGAATTGCGGATTGCCCGAAAAGAGTCCTTGTTTATTGGTAATGACAGATATGCTTGTGGTATACGGACTGCTGGTGTGAGAACCTTATCATGAAGTTGACAGGGTATATAATGCCATAAAAACACACACACACACACAAATACCATACACGTATATATCTAAGAAATTATCATTGGAAAAAAAAACACAAGAAACGTCACCATAGACAGCAAGCGTAAACAGGGTCATGACTATAATAACAAATCAATGCGAGGCCCTTCATAAATGTGTATAAATACTTGGCGGGTGTCGCATTAAGCGGGGGTGGGGAAGGGAGGGGATAAAAGGCATGACAAATGCGAAATATCATCTAACAAACGCACACAACGAAAGAACAAATACAGCTATTTCTCACAAAATTAATTTTAGGCATTTAGGGAAGATGATAAGGCATTTTTAGAGCTGTGCCACTGCATGGAAAGACAATTCGAGTTCACGTACTAGAATTTTATATATTCTTCAATCGCAATGAATTTGAAATATTTACTTACGGTACGAGTTGCGGGGGAAGGTGTTTGGCATAAAATGAAGCTTTATTTCCAAATCTCTGGCCAATTCACCGAAAGAACGAGGTAACCAATTTGATAAAGAATTAAGTCTTTTCGTTTTTCAAGATTCATCAGACTTTATTTTTTGTAGATTTTAGTGAATAAAAAAAAAGGAATATTAACCGACCGATTACATTTGTGTAAAAGTGAAACAATTTCATCGTTCACAAATTGTTGTTGGTACATCCTTAAGTGATTTAATCGGGAAAGGTGGGAGTTGATTCCCTAAAATAATGGACATGTATGTATTTCTCAGACTAATGGTTGTCGTGACTTAAAGGGTTCAGTTCATAGGCTGCGTATTCGTCCTAACTGCTCAATTTATTAAAGCATTTGTATAAATTTAATCCTGCCAAAGAGGAGAAGGACGCAGGTAATTATGGGACTGAATTAATTATTAAAAGGAAATGTTTAAGGATTTGAAAGTGGGCTGAACATGAACAGTAGCGCAATTGTCAAACCATATGTAAATGTTCGAGCAATACTGTTATTGTTGCACGCCAGTGAAAACAAACATACCGACACACACACACACACTCGACCTCAGTGTGTTCCTGCCTCAAGCCATGGACATGGTCGACTGAAGAGGACATGCTCACTAACTACAGTAGGTGGTTTCTATACAACTGACCTGGTTTTTTCGACACGGTTACGACGTTGCAAACACATGTTGTTTGTATGTATGTGTGTATGTATATTTCTGGACATGGATTCGCCTTTAGCTGCTAAATATGAACGTGCGTTGTGATATGGATATAATCACATCCGTTTAAAATAACGGATCGATAAAAAAGTTGACGCCTAAATTGTTTTTCGTTCTGAATGTTAATTTACATTCAATGGTATTCTTCGATAGAGTCCTTCACATGTCCACCTGAAAATAGTACTTAGCAGACTGACTGCATTGTAGGCCATTGCATTAAGAACGTAGACACAGGCTTTACATAAAGACTGTGTTACTTTGCGTATTTCGATGTGGTCACATTCTTGGAAACCTAATTGAATTAATTGAATGTACGACCTCCTACGGTAATCCTCCTACTTAACAATGTCTATTGAATTTCAAATACAGCCCTACCCGCTTGCCAGCAAGCACTTAATTTGCGCTGAAAATGGAAAGGCAGAAAGAGTTGATTCATTTTGATGTCACTGAATGTAATCGCCAGCGGAACTAGACAAAGGCAAACCAATTCGCGAGGTTGTTTGTTTTGTGAAACAAACTGAAAACCCCGTAGTGGTACGATATATCATTCTTCACAAAATCCTTCATTATTTTTATTAACACCTTAGCGACTGCTTTATTCCATAGTTGCACTCGTTGTAAAGTAGGCCTCACAGCACACATGCCAACTATCTCTTCAAATCATAAAAAAATCGTATTCGAAATCACTTTGAGTGCTCCTCGTTTCGAGGACTACGATTAGTATCGGTACTCAACGACGAAATAACGAATGTGATAAAGCATGATTCAAACAGCGTGAAGAGCAATCCTTGTCGAGAACTTGGTTCAACCTCCTCCGCAAGCACCTAGCCACTGGCATCGAATAAGAAGCTTTCATAAAAGTAAAATGCAGGCCTCGTGGCATCAGTCATGAAGCAAAGCTACCTCCAAATGCCACTGGACGGTATATTAGTGCTTAGCGGGCATGAAAACTTTACTTCAGAATATAGATAATATTTATGGAAAATATTCTAATGGCATTACTACCTAATTACAAGCTGTCCTCCTAAAAGCTCACTAGTCTTTCTGGCCTAGGGTCTATCCATAATATTTACCGCTCGATGTTTACATTCACCTCAACTTTCCCTAGTAACAATTTTGGATGATTCTCATCCTGCTGTTTTAAGAGATATTGCCCTGGCGGATAAAAAGTTGACTTCAAAAATTGTTTTTAACTATGTGGCTCTGAAAATAATCCGACGTGACCTATTCCCCTGCGCACGTCTATGCGTAAATTGGGCTTGACACACTCAAAATAGGAGCTTTCTACAAAAACGGCCACATTATAGGTAATAGATAGGTCCCGTTTTAGTCCATTCGGGCCCTTTCATTCCCTGTCAACCCCTTCCAAGGAATGAAGAATTTGCATTCACTTTACAAGGCATACAATTATTGCTTTAGAGGTTCAGACGTAATTACAATAAAATATACACTTCGTTCAATGGTGGAGGCCATAAAGAAGTTTTCTGCCCAACATATCCCAGCTGGCCTTGGACCCCATCAAACTAACGTCGGCTGCAAAGTGATTTAGCTTACCCAGTGTTGAGGTATCTTTGATAAAGCGCTTGCAAGTGAGTTGCGATTTCGATAACATTCGGTGGATACCAAAAACAACAACACTTGTCCGTCCACAATACACATTTTGTGTCTTCAAATTTGCGTAATAGCCATTAGCTCAATTTTTTAAGGCGCTAAATGGGGATATGGTTTGAGGGAGGGATTGATTGGTGGCATCAAGAGAATGAGAAACAATCGAATCGTAAAATTCCAAAAAATCCAGGAATGTTACGACTTAAGTCTTACCCTGAATCAGGTCGCTTTTTAATTTAAACTTTAATGAGTATGTACATACCCCTCTTGGTGTAGCAAATCTGCTCTGGCGAAGCAGGAACTCAAGGAATGTATTTTCGTTGCCGGCTTCCAAGGAGTTTTTGTCGATTGAAGTTAAACTTTCACCAAACGTCCTTCGGGTGTGTTCGCGAACAAATTGGGTCTTGGAGCGCGTGTAGGCTTTCTTGTAACACCAGCTACCGCCAACGGTATTTCTAAGAATAAGCGGGCTTTTAGAACTTTTGTCTATCAGACGTTTTACTTTCGCACGGGTCCTATCTAGCTTTTGTTCAATAGCTCAAAAGAGAAAAGAACCTTACCCGTTCAACGTTTGGAATGGTTTTGTTTTTCACGTTGGCCTCGTAATAGCTCTGCACTGCCAGTGAGTTTTCGTGGACATACAGTGACGCGCTCAACTCTTGTCTTTTTGAGAGAGCGCCAGGCGCATCAGGCATACAGCCACAATAAGACTCAACAACAATGGAGGTGTTCGTGATTGGAAAATGGTTCCACAAACAATTTTTTTAAAGAATGCAAACAATAGCAATACATACAAGTTGTCTTCAGAACGCAAAGCACAGTTACATTTTCAGGCTAGAGATACATTAAAAGACGACATTACTTGCTATAGGTATTTTCGTTTCAAACACGTTTTGGAGTAGAGAACATTTTCGCTCCGTCGCACCGAATCAAACAAGAGAAAGAACATTGGTTGGTAGGTACCTAAATTTGCTTGTGCCAATCCTCTCAGTCCACAAAGAAGCTTAAAGCTTCACACAAGAAGGTGAACACAGGACACCCGGATTTTATTCGATTTCTTAATACGAAAAAGTCTAACCAAATGTTCAATTTTTTTATTATGTCTTCTTTACGCACACATGTATCTGCAAATGAAAAGCTTTTCCCCACAACACAATAGTGGTGAAAGCGGTTAATTTAGCTTTGTATAAACTGGGTTCTCTGTATGTCATGCTAAAGCTCAACGGAACTGTTAAGCCATAGAAGAGACAACAGATGTCGCCAAAAATGTTTTGGCTCTAGTCACTTGACCCAGAGACGGTTAAATCGCCCGGCTTCGTAGCAATTTCTTCATTTGTCAGGAATTTCGTGTGTTGGTATTATTAAAATGTCAATTATTGTTATAATTTCTAAAGTATTTATTGAATTTATATAGCGTAACGACTTATTTGAAGTCATGGAATACACACGAAACTGCGTATGAAGGAATAATTGTCCCCGATACTGTGACTACACCATTTCCAACTGTTATTTGAGAAAATATAAATGTATGCAAATCCACAATTAGTTAATTGATTGATGATTATTTTTTTATATAAAATAATAAAAATCGGGAAAATTAAGTATAATATCAAGCTTTTCTTTACTAAATCAATTTCAATAACGATTAAGTTATGAGCATATATTTTTAACAAAGTTTTAAATATTTTGTAAAGAATTTCCATATAAAAAATAACACACACAAACGCATAACAATTTGATAAATGTTTTGTTCCAATACCTGCAAAAATTTGCTTCGATATCCTAAAGGGAAAATCGGTTGTCGTAATAAAAACTTGTACATTATTGCATTCCTGGAACTGGCCAAAAATAAGCTATACAAATAAACAATTAAATTGGCTGTTAGCTTTTGCCTACCTTGCATTGTACTGAACTTATTCTAAATACTCAATTCTACACATTCAATAGCAAGGACAAGAAGACAACTCTGGACAAAAAATTGTCGAGTGGTTTTTACACTATTTTGGTTTGACTTTTTTTGGATTTCACTTCACAATTGTGTATTTTGACAACAAACTCTATAGTCAGATGGACTTATTGGCCGATCTTTACATTTCCATACGTTCAAGCCACAATTTCATGCATTTTGAAAATATGTATGTATGTATAGATGAGACAAATAAGTAGGGTAATAAACAAACGGGAAAAGTTGATGGAAAATATCGAGTTTTTAGGAGATGAAGGGAAATTAAGGAGATAAATTTAATACTTTATTTGGTCATCTCTTCCAAAACCTCATTTTTATTTCCGACAAACTTTACACGTGTGCATTGGTGCCATTAGTTGTCAAAAGAACAAATTTTGCCCGTAAGTCTGTCCCGTTACTCGCAAACTTTTACAACGTTTTTATCCTCTACACAAAATAGCAGCTCAATACAATGGCGAACCTTACACTTCTTTTGGAATTGTTGCCATTTTGAAAAGCAAACAAACAAAGCAGCAATTCTTGTTTTCTGTACAAAGAACATGCCATAACAAAGACAATCATGCGGTTTAGGAACGACAACGAATTTAAAAAAACAGAAACACCGAAATTACACGAAAGTATTTATCATAGAGCTTGTGTTTGGTATTTATAAGTGTGAGTGTGTGTGTGAGAGAGAGAGAGAGAGAGAGAGAGAGAGAGAAATTATACATGCAAAATCTACCGGAAAAGAAAAAACAACAAACATTTTAGAAGACAACAAAAGTCAAGTGTACGAATGTGGTCTATGCAAACGGGCAAAAAGTAAAAGATCGGAAACATCTATGAAGACTTGAAACAAGAACTGAAATCTCACTCACACACCAGTGGCATGGGCCGGCAATAACAGCTGTGTTGGTGGGGCTGCCCGACATGTCGGCTAAAACGAATTAACATCAAATTTGAAATCAAGATCCAGATTTTTTAACGGATTGCGTCGGATCTTGGTGCTGCCATGATGGTGATGGTGGTGCGGTATGTGAATTTCCACTTCCGTTTCTGGATCCAATTTGAGCATATCAACAACGTGGTCGTATTTGATTGTTTTAAGTGTTGCAAATAGTTTGGCGTGCATGTCGAAGCAAAGTGCAGCATGAGTTATAGTCCGTTTGTTTCGTTTCAATGTAGATTTTTTGTTGTTTTTATATGTAGCGGTAACCAATAAAAGAAACAAAAAATGGGAATAAGATTTGGCATAAATTATTTTCTTTGGTGTTATTAATGCATTGGGGACATCAGATAATCCTCTTTAAATTAATAATCAATTGTTTGTCTTTTAACATTTCCTGTTTCCAAGCGCCAAACGCTGGCTATGAAATCGGCAACGTCAGATTTGCTTCTGGCATTCACCAATGTCCTTACCAAACGACCGCCCTTCAGGGTTTCGAATTTAAGGATCTGTCATCCCTTAAGCTGAGTTGACGCGAGCCAATGAACTGTCAATATATTATTTAAGTGTAATTCTTTATGCATGTAAATGTAATAATTTCCCATAGACATTTAGGGTTTACGTTTACACCTGCATATGTATTTTTGATGAACACAGCTGCAAATAATATAATAAACCCCATTTATTCCATTTTATATCTGAAAATATTTAATTTGTCAAAAAATATTTAATAAAGTCATAAATTTGCAAAAATTAATTCCGGATGGGATGGTGTGCCACACCGTCGATGACTTGAGCAAAATGTGTACAACAAATAGGAATGCCAAATTCAGCAATGCATATGTATGTAATTCATGACTCATGTAAACACAGCTTATGTTTTATCTTGTCTGATTTCTGCGAACATTTCAAATATTTTTTAGTCCGTGAACAGGCGAAGAAGTTCTATAGAAAAGACAAGTTTTTTTTATGGGGAAAAGTTGAACGCCCCCGATATATTAGAACCTCGCTATTGTGCAAAAGCCTTGACAAACCATTAATTTTCTTCGGCTTTCGGCTATAGTTCGCGAGTCACTGGCACCGAATAACCCATTGAAAAATAAACTAACCAAACTGAATTTTGTATTGCCAGTGGGTTAAAAATAATGTTTTTTTTTTTTTTTAAATAAAGAAAATAAACATTTTCCCTCATTACTTAGAAATCAAATCAAATATATGATTCTAATATAATAATTCAATAATTTCTTATTTCAACATTCCGGGATTCAATGCGTAACCCTTTTTTATACTGCTGAACGAATTATAATTCTGCTAAATTCCAGTAGATTTTATTTATCGATTCCATTTCATTTAAATTAAAAAAAACATAAAACGAGACATACCGGTTAAAATGCTCTAACAATGAAAATAATCAGAAAGGTAATCTCATGCAATCATAGGATTACAGTTGTTTTTATTTGATGTTCCATCATTGTCGAAATTGCCGACAATTGTTCCAGAACCTGCAAGAATCTACTAGTTTTGCCATTTTTCCGATATCATAAGGGGAAAATCTGTTATTGAGTAAAGTATTTTACATTCTTGTAGTTCTGGAACAGACCACCTAAATACATTTTAATTTTCTAGCCTTTTATATACTTTATCAAGGAAGAATATATGTAGTTTCTTGTCCATAACAAATATGAGATTGAAAGATAGAAAGATTGATTTTACAGCTAGGAAAGGAATGATGGCTGACGAGTCCGATCCCGCTATTCAATCGATTTTGGCATTTTCCGCTGGTTATTCTGGGGGTTTGTGCATAAGACAAATTCAGAACTCAACACTGAAAACGCTTCCTTAAGTTGGAAGGTATGGAATGTACATTGGTAAATGTTTAAACTCTTGATAAGGTTAATAAAGTTTGTCTTCTTAAAATATGGAATAAACAGATGTTTTTACACTCCACAGAAGGCGGAAATTAGATTTTTTTGTAACAAATGCCATATGCGCCATACACAAAATTTTAATATATAGAATTCAGTTTTATTTGAAAATACAATGACAAGGTGGAGTACGATGGAAAAGGGCTGCATATACGATTTAGCAAATGAAACTGCCTCTATTGTTAGGCCATGTATGTCATATCGTAAATGCATGTCATTTTATTTTCTTTATTTTATTTCGTCTATTCGCTGCAAACTACAGTTTTTCATTTTATGTTAATTCAAAGGCACAAAATTACGTATTTTCTTATGACAAATTATAGAACATTTATCTGGATGAAAGAAATGGACACATGCATGCAAGGATATTTCACGGCCATCTTCCCTTTTACGGTCTTGTGAAGTGCTCTGTCAACGTAGATTCACGTAAAATTATTTTGCATTACTAAATTGCAAAAGTGTATTTGTTGTCTTTTGTCTTTGATTGTTGAATTAAGCAATAGCGAAGCGCCAACCGTGACAGCGGAAACGCTGACAACAACAGCACCCAGCAGCCGACAACAAAATATGTACATATATATATATATATGTATATAACACCAAAAAAGAGCACCGGCGCCACTATTATAGCCATTTTGTCTGATGTCTTCACACAAAATACAACCAACAAACACAATTGTACAGATACACAAACACACATAAAACATACATATACCTACGCAAGTTTATAAAAACAGTACGAAACCAACACTCATACACTCAGAGTTGTACATACGAAATGGAAAGACAACACATCATTGGTCGAATTGATGACAGGAGCTCTCCGATTTTGAGAAATTTGCAGTAATTTAGGTTATTAACAAACTCGCCAAGTCATACATACATTTTTTTTCATGTTAGTTCGAAGTAAAGTTAATTTTTGTTTTGTTTCGCACCGCCATGAATTTATCGAATTTATCACTTGATTTGTCTTCAATCAATTATGGGTACTAACGACCGCTTCTGGAGAGAAGAACACACATTCCGTATATACATTTTTATCTATGTTCATGTTGATTGTATTCACAAAGATATGCATATGAGTTTACTTAATATTCTGGTGTTTATATCGTACATCACTCATACGGCCTGATAGGCACAGTCATGTAGACATTTAAAGATCGAAAGCTAACCCACATTGGTAACGTGGTGGCTATCCTACACCTCAATCTCTAGATAAGATACAAGCCGAGCAAAACACTCTCAAAAATGTTAGGGTTGACTGTCCAAGTCCGAAACCTTTTATTCTATGTTAAGCCATTCTCAATTCATATCTATGCACAATTAGCTAAATGATTGTAGAGGTTCCGCATACAATTCTAATACCTGATTCTGTTGTTGGTTGGGAATGTTTCTAAATGCCAAGCTCATAATCATCAGGTGCTGACTAATAACTTAAAATATGCAAAGCAAATAAGGCATTTAACAAGAAAACAAGTGTCGATATATTTATATTTTTTGAAATAATCCAATACACAGGCACATATACTCATACATATGTACCCATACCGCACGCATTTTCAACCAGATACAATAATGTGTTGATGTGTGCTGCCAAAATCGAGAACATTTAATGCCCTAGGGCACGGCGAATGGCCGCCGACCGACACAGTTCATACAGGGACATTCCGCAGCAGTATAATTGAATTTAAAAACCGTTGAAACGAGCACTCCGAACGGAAGGGAGTGTTGTAGATATACGAAATAATTTTAAAAAGGAAACTCCCAAACACACCTTGTTCCAAGCACCAAGTGGAGGGTGGGGTTTACTAAAACCCCATTAAATTTGTATATAAAAATCGTACAAAAATGTTTGGGAAAAGCCAACAAAAAGGCGCAACGAGGAAAAGGGCATTTGGCGATTACGAAAACGTAATGGAGCCAAGGCAGTCAGGCGGGCAGACGGGACTAAAAAGTTGTATGCGAGATGACTCACTCACCTTCATCTTCACCCATGTCATTCATGTCATTGAAATCCAAAGTCTCGGCCTTGCTACAGGAGTTTTGTGGTATAGAACCGTTCTCTTTGACCGGCGACGACAGTGTTGTCTTCGAATTGCCAGGAGTATTGGCGAAATGTTTGGGATTCACAGCATCTCCGTTTGAATTTACGGAACTCATTATGGAGTGGTGAGATGTTGCAGACTTTTGTGATTCTGCCGTTGTTGGTTGTTTGGACATGTTGGGGCTAGTCGGTTCATCCTTTTGCTGTTTGTCATCTTGCATGTTGCTATTTGATTGCCCACTGATGGCATTTTCCTCACTCTGCTGCCCAACAGCTGCAGTGGTTCCATTAACGCCGGTTGACGAACCTTCTTTGTTCTTAAGCTCCTGGCTCGTATTACAACCCATGTTTGTAAGTCGCGACTTTTTCTTTTCCTCTTAAATTTTACAAATTCAACAAAATCAGACACGCACACACCCAACTAATACCAAATGGGTTGTTTCCAAAAGAAAACACGGAGGGATTTGTTTTAGGTGAAAGTCTTTGAAATATTCAAGAACACTTTTTAAGGCCGTTAATTATTTTAACGTTAGTTTATTTGTAATAGTTTTATTTAATATTTCCTTTAATTGTTAATGCATTGTGGTAAATGTGTTGTTGTTGTTATTATTTATCAGTCGAGGATATTATCCATGCTTTGCCAAGGCAACGTTTGCACATAAAATTGTTTAATCAATTCTATTTTTGTTTATTTTCGGTATTATAGGCGACACGACACGCAATTTCATTAAACTTTTGCACATCGTTCAATATTCGTCTGCATATAGTTAAAAAGTCCCCAACTAAGTGCTGATAGCTTTTAACCGTTTTGTCCTTCAACGAATCTTGTTTGATGAGGTTATGCGTTGGTCTATCTGTCGTGGATATATAAAAGGAAAAGCGTCTGCTACTATACTCTACTTGTTAAAGTCTAAAAATAAACTAACTCTGTGTACGGAAATTTCCCGCAGGATAACCTAACTCTCACACGCACACCCATACACACACACACAAACATTAAACCGCAAAACACCCAAAAACAGCAACTCTTAAAATGGTCGTTGTCGCAAAGATACGAACTTCCTCATCACAATGAGACACATACGAGATAATGAAAAGAGAGCGAAAAATTCTCTTATATCCTGTGTATTGGGCGCAAAAGTAAAAAGCAACAGACAGTTTTCTATAAAGACAAGGCAGGGTGGCCAATGAATTTTGTACACGGGAGTGTGTGATATTTTCATGATTATATAGTCGAACGCCGTACAGAAGACATATTTTTGAGATTTTCATTCCTGGGAACACGAAAGAGATATGGACGCGTTATGATTTATCAAGGATATCAAGGATTTTTAAGCTGTGTAATATACATTTCTCGCTCTTGCTTCCAAACGGAATGTAGTAAGAAGATCAAATTTAAGTCAAGAGTATTTCAGGGTCGTATAATTTTTGATATTGAAAATGGTCCACGATTTTGTATAGATGTCATATAATGGTGCATTGAGGTATTTTTTATCTAGATAATGCTAGCTACATTTTTCAACAGACATTTTTCTATATAGGTCCATGTTTTCGCATAGCCCTAATACAACGGCTTCTTCTGACATTCGGCATTTTGATGTTTTTGTCACATTTTTCAACGGAATTGTTTCTGTCTGTGCAGGCCCATGTTTTTATAGCCCCTTATAACGGTTCCTCTTGGTACTCGGTATTTTGATCACTTAACCTACATTTTTCAAGGAATCCTTCAAAATTGTTTGGTGGTACTATAGGTATATCTCTAAAAGGCATTTCTTTGTCAGTACCACTTAAAAGAACGATTGTATTAATGCCCATGCAGATGATATAGATATACAAACCAAGTCTGCCGATTACTTCATTTATGAAAAGATTATTAACAAAAATTGAAAAAAAATCGACAGTGAACAGAGCCTTGGCGAACTCCACTTGAAACTGGTAGGATGCCGCTATACAAAAGTAGCTGTAGGCGTTGATCTTTATTTTTAATATTGTTTTCTGAATCTCTTAAATATATTACAAATATTGTGCATTACATATTTCATTCAGTACATTGGAATAAGAAAATAGAATTATAAATACGTTTGATTTTGGCGTACATGCTCATACCATATACAGAGATATTTATAAGAAAAGAATTAAATTTTAAATTAAAAACTCAGTTTACTCTAATGTTGAGTCTCCATAATTCCAAGGCTTCTGCGACAAATATAACACAACAATAGTTGATAAAGCGCTTACCAGAAATATAACATCGAACCAACGATGGTAAAAATTGAAATGAAGATTTCCGAGTACTTCTGTAATTATAACGCGATATTCTGCTGGCATATTCATTCGCATCAACAACACCGAGGAACAAAAATACATGCCCATTATTTGAGCCAATATTAGGACAATTATATTAGAAGACTTGCTGGAGGAAATGCGGTAAAAAAACTGTAAAGAAACGACAATAACAACATTTCAAAGGTCACAAATATTTTCTATTTTGTATCGTTACCTTTGTTAAGGTCAGCAGTAAACCTCTTATAGACGTTACAACTATGCATCCTACTAATAAAAAGGAAATATGTTGGTTCCAGAATGCCAGGTCTATATCGAAGCCACACCAATGTACTGCGATTTCAAGGCCTCTGGTAACAGGATCTTTCCGACCCACTCTATCGAAGATAATATTTACACAGCACTGTAAAACAGAAATAATCAATAATTTCACCAATACACGTTATTATGTCGCATACCATAAATATTTTATACAAGCAATATACGCTGAAGAAGTGTCCTATCACATTGAAGTATTTACCCTGCAGTGTTTGCGACCATTTTTGACGTTCCTGCATGTTTTTTAAATAATTGATCTCGAGAAACAGTTGTCTGAGCAACTCTTCTAGACCATACACCTCCATACGCAATTGATTTATGTCTGTCAAAGATCAAAATAATTATCTAAAATGGTTGGCATTCAAATAGCCATAATACGACATTTTGTAATTTTGTTAAGGCAAATCGTCAAGTAGTTACCATCTACGACAGCCATAACAAAATGTGTCGTTTAACGACAACGTCAACCAAAGAGAGGCAGAATATCATAATCATTTTTTGGACAATCACTTACTTTCGCCAGCAGTGTCTACTCGGTTCACGGCGGAGCTAAGGATATTCCACAAACGAGGACGGGATTGGTTTGATTTGTTGCGTCGGTGCATCTCCAAGGCAATTCGTTTCTTTTTTCCCGTAAGCATGTCTACAGTTAAGAGAAGTCTTCGTTCTAGATTCACTATGTCACTCTGGGATACAGGTCTAGGAAATGAACGTTAATCTATGAATATCCATATAGAATGCTATATAAAAATACCTACCGAATGAAATACGTCATACTTTGAAATGGGCAATTAACTGCACCAAATCCAGAAAGTATCGCCATGACCGTAACACCTATTACCCCAATACGCGACACTCCCTGCTCTATGGTGAAAATGCCATTTGAAACGCTTAGAAGTGGAAAAGGTTCTCCAATGCGCCACAAAGAATATAAGAAAAGAAACCAGCAGCAAACTGTCATTATTCGGACCCATTTTTCCGATACTACATATGAAACAAAAATATTACATTAGATAAATACAATTTTATTAAAATGCTGATTATAATTCACATTATCGGCTCACTAAATGACAATGAATTTGGAACAATACAGGCAGCACTTAAGTTATTACGAGTCCGAGTATTCGAATAAATGAAAAAATAAAATTAAAACAGCCAAACTATAAATAGAAAGGCCAATCCGCGAAGTTTTTTTTTTAGCACCGAGAGGGGCTTATTGTCGACATGTGGAAACAAGTTCAGTTTTAAAATACGCTAATGGATTATTATTCGTAAAGCTCTGCCTCCATTGAATTAAAACTTTGGTAAACATTTCAATGGGATGGATTGCAACTGAACTGTAATAGCGTTGTCCAAAGATATATTGCATTTGGCCGAGTACAAAATATACAATGGAATAGGTACTCTGACCCGCAAAATTGTCGGAAAATGTTACAACCTGTTGGCTACCACCACATTACCATATTGAAGTTACATTCTTCTATTTAGTTACCAAAAGAAATGCTGTGTATGACAGAGTACAAAATATACAATGGAATAACAGCTATGACCATAAGAAGCAATGATGTCAAGCCTAGCCGCCAATGGAAGTATCGTGAACTACTATCCAAAACGCCGAGAATCTCAAATATAATTAGCTCGAACATAGTCAGAGACAGGGCGAACGTCACCGAGAATATAAGCTGGACTGATATGTGGCGAATCTCATAGTTCTTAAACAACTGCTTGACAAAGAAAATCCATCCACCAGCAAAAAATAGAACCTGCATAGGAATATAAACACACTGGATTGATTCATACCGGCCATTTGTCGTCGCACTTACCTGAGAAACAAATACTATGGTTGTGTCCTCCAAAAAAGCCATGTCGTCCGTCTTGTTCAGCCAAACATTTCCGTAGAAAAACGTAAACAAACAAAGGGAAAGAAGTGATAAAAACTAAAGTCAAAACAAAAACGCCGATTCTTCTATTAGGGATCTGAAGATAGAAAACGGAATATCGCTTATCCCATGTTCAACAGCGTTGGGAATAACTTTGTTCCTTATGCCCTGTCCACACACAATGGGAAATTGAACATTTGTATTTAATTTTATCAAAAATGAGGTAGATGCATCAGCACGTGTGAACATTGATAGTCATAGGCATCAATAAATTTCTGCTATAATAAATTAACTTTTAAATATTTTCTTGCAGTCGTTTAGGAATTGTTCAACAAATTTAACAAAATTAAATAATTTTTCATTCAAATTGTTGCTTACCAAAAATGTCTTGACAGTTAATTGTACCATCAGCTGGCCCAAGTTGGTTACTGCGGCATGATCCATACATGTCGCACAAGAAGACTACTTTGACAATAAACTAAGCAGGTTTTGTACAATTGTAGTTTGACTTTTTTTTGAATTTTTAGTTTATCGCAATTATGTATTAGCAGACCCTTGCTGGCCACCTATTAAATCTGCCTTGAACACAGTTTTGACCATGGTTGTTCGACTTCAAACAACTAGGAAAATGCAACTCTGAGCCAGAGGAGTCTTTTAGTGTTAAATAGACTTTTTTGGAAAAATATTATATTGGGAAAAATCACAGAACATGGATGAAATCTTGGGCTTATTCCACAACTAAACCAGAATAAATAGAAAACATATTAGCCCTATAAGTAATGTGAGACTTGATTATGGAATGGTATTAGCTTTTTTCAAACTATAATATTGCTGATGCGCTAAGACAAGTATGAAGATGTTTACATTGCAGAAAATTTTCTAATGTTTTATTTTTTTCATTTATTTAATATTGTTCCTCATTTTTCTCAATTGAGTTAAAAATCGCATAAGATGAATTAAACCTGAAATTTATTTTAAGTATTTAGGACAACATTGTTCAATATTTGAATTCTATGGCAAAACTGGTTAACATATTTAATGAGCACCACACAATGTTTCTTCCTAAAATGTATTTTGATGTTTTTTTTTTTTACTTTTCAAGATAAAAAATTGAAACACAAAATTTGCAGAAGTCGTCTACACCAGGAAGAAAATTTTAATCAGCTAGTAGCTCTGCCATACCTTTTTATTCTACCATGATAGAACCTTCATAACAGGTATTGTGAAGATTTTGGGAACATTTTCAGCTAATTATTCTGGGGTTTTGATATTTAAAGACTGACTTAACGTTATTTAAGTACTACTACAGCATACAGCCCCGACAAAATCTGTGCTAAACTTGGACATTTTCACAAGGAACTTTCATTGCTCACTGTCTAGAAAAATGTATGAGTTGAAAGTGATAACAAAAATATAATTTTGATATATTAAATGCAAACACTTCTTTTTATTTTACCTTTCTTATTATTAAATTTTTTATGTTGGGCTTTATAGATTCATTGACTAAATGGTTAGTGTTTGTCACCGGAACTGAAGGACAGCTGATGTTTTTAATTTGTCTTTGTTTGTTAATTAATTTGACTTTCATTCCTCCCTTGGACTGGAGCTTTTTAAGTATTTGCAATGTCTTTTCGTCAGTAACAATTTCATCAGATAAATCAGGTGTTGTTGCTTTCGTATTTGTGCGTTTTATCTGTAGTCCTAAACTGGAAAGTTTGTTCAATATTTCAGCTGTCTTCTTTTCCTTCGCTGGAGTTTTCGGTTCATCATGGTTTTTTACTACAGGCTTTGAAATTATCTCCTTTGCTGAGCATATATCTTTCGTTGGCAGGACTTTTGATAGGTCTGCGCCTCCTTTGCAAGTTGAGAAGTTTTCGCCAGTCTTATTCGTTGCAGGAGTGAAGTTAACATTATATTTGCCTTCTAACTCGTGCACCCTTCCATTAACTATGTTACCATCAGAAAATCTGCGCTTAGTGCAAGTTCTTGTTGGGCATTTGGAGTCAACTTGAAACTTTACTTTCTTTGCTCCATTTTTAATTGGAGGTTCCTTAAATTGTACGAATGGGGTGACTTCTTCGACCAAGACTTCATATTGTTTTTGAGAGGTTTTATTAGCCTTAGATACACCATTGTTTTCCGTAGTATACCATTTTGGATTTAACAGCTCCTCCTCTATGTCCAGCAAGTCAATAAAGTCATTTCCCGTTTGTAAAAAATCCACGTCTGCATAATCGTAAACTAGAAACTGAAAGAATGTAAAAATGCGAATCCATTATTGGAACTGTGTAATATTTTAGTAAAGAATTGTGTTTCATCCATTACAAATGGATGGATTACATTCAATTATCATGTGTGGAATATCACATTCCATTACATTTCATAAATAATTTCACAACAAACCTCTTTCACGTCATTGACTGTCGTCTTTCCAAGAACATGTGTGCCCTTTAGCTTGTTATATTTCATTTGAGTCCTTTCTGCCTTGATCCTGGATATGTTTATACAGGAGTCCAGATGTTCGAGAAACCCCTTCACATCACCCCCAACATCGCTCTTACAAATGTTACATAAAATAAACAGTTCATAATTCTCTCCCATGAGAATTTGTCCAAAATTCACGCACTTTGTAGATTTCATTTCCTTCTGTATTTTGTTGTTAATAAGAACAAAAACAAAGCCGGTCCATTGAAAACAAAATTCATGGGTGCAAATTGTACTCCACTTCGAATGAAAACTTTACTTTTCTTGCTGTCACAGCGCCGACGAAATGTTTTCTTTTTCAAAAACACCCCAAAATATAAATTTCGCCATTTTGATTTTTAATTTTGATCTGATTTTTTTCTTCTTTATTTCTATCACGTTTTTATTATAGAATAAATGGCCAATTATTAATTATCGTCCTCTTATTACATTTATTTATTTACTTATTTATGACTACTTTTTATTTTTAAAACAAACAAACAAATAAACACTCAATCCGAGAAGAAGTAGCTTCAAAACATTATTTTATTCACTTCGGGATGATAACACGACTCTATCCATGACAATAGGCGTGCTTCTCCACAGATTGGGTTTGGTTTGCAGTGTTGGTAAATCTCGCTATCTCCAGCTTTAGCACTATTTTCGCGAATTGAATCGTTCACATGAAAAGTTAGCCCTTATTTAATATTGCAACTAGTCCACCTTGGTATTCGCGATACGTTAAATTCTTAATGCAAATTACATCGGAATTCTGAAAACGCATGCATGCAAAAATCATTTGTTATTATAGGATTTGCGATGTAAAGATCAATATATCGGGAAGCGTGGACTTCCGCAGAAAAAAATATCGCACCTATAGAGAAGTTATCAAAAATACCGGTGCGCCACCTGACAAACTCGGCGATTTCACTAGCTTGCCAGATGTAATTAAGTTCAATGGTGTTATGGGTATTTCATCTTTAATTTACAAGTACAATTTACAAGTAATGTACTTGGTTGCATATAAAATATGAACATATGAACTTGTGGAAATGTATTATGAACTAAATGATACATACTCTATGTAACCTCTATTTTTTTCTGCCTTTGTCTTTCTTGGCGAATCGAGGTGCCCCAAAGCTTTTTCCTTTATTAAACTTATTTTTACCGGCCTTATTGATCAATTTTACATTACTGGTCTTTTTCTTGGCCGTTATTTTCGACATTTTCTTATGGCGATTTGCTTCCGACCTTAGGCGCAGTGCACCACTGCGACTTATATCAGTTAAGTCATTAGTAAACGCAGAATGATTGCCACCACGTTTACTGGCAGTATTTGATGCATTATTTTTGCTAGCTGGAGTATCGGATACTGCGCTCAATTTACCAGGACGTTTGCGTAACTTTGATATTTTTGCCCTGACTAAAGACACTTTTTCGATTTCCTTCATAGCTCTTTCCTTGGCTAATTGCTCAGGAGTTTTCTTTTTGGGTTCCTCTTTTTTCTTCTTTTTGGCAGCTAATTCCTTAACGGGTGGACCATCTTCCCCATCACCACCATATTCGCGTTTTGGTTTTTTCTTGGTCTTCTCCGATTTTCCTACTGTGGAATCTATAGCCAAGCGTTCTTTTTCCTCTTCGCGTTGTTTTTTCGTTTGGAACCAGTCACGATGTTCTACATTGGCATTGCCTAGCAGTTTACGCTCTGTCTTTGACAATTGTTGTTCCATTTTAGCAAGCTGGCGTTCAGCTTGCTCTTCGTCCAAAATATTTTCTGAAATAAGAAAAAAACATTCATTTACACTTCAAACGGATGTAAAATAATATGTGCTGCAACTTACGAATTTCCGGCTCCAATGCAATCAATTTGTTTCTATATTTTTCTATGATTTCAGGAGGTATTATACGATTTTTAATAGATCCTTCCGCGTTCTTTATTATATCTTTGACAATTTTCCTTTCTTTTTCCCCAGCCAACGAAACCGAAATACCAGCCCTTCCAGCTCGAGCAGTTCTACCAACTCGATGAATGTAGTGTTCTGTAGTAATTGGCATTACAAAATTGATTACTGTCTTAACACCCACAATATCAAGGCCTCTGGCAGCTACATCGGTAGCAATTAGTACATCGATTTGCTCATCTTTAAACTTTTTTAGTGACTCCAGACGCTGTTGTTGTGTCAAATTGCCATGAAGTTCGCCTGCCCGTATACCAAGTAGCCCCAGCAATATATGAAGTCGATGAGCCTGCTTTTTCGTTTGCACAAACACCATGCAATGGTCGTGAAATGTGCGACATATCAAACTTGCCAAAATCGGTTCACGGTCGCCTTCTTTGTCTTCACGAATACGTATGAATTCTTGTCGCAAATTGAATGCAACCTGTTGATTGTTGTTAACAAAGACTTTCACAGGTTTATTTAAGGACACAGCGGCTAAATCCTTGACCTTTTCACTCATTGTTGCAGAGAAAAGCATGGTTTGTCTAGTCTTTGAGCATGAATTAATAATCTCTTTCATTTGCTCTGCAAAATATTCATCCAACATTCGATCGGCTTCATCCAGTATAAGAACCTGTAACAAATGTAAATATTAGTCAAGTTGAAAACGATTTATCAGCGTAACAATTTATTCGGCTATCAGAATACGTAGCAGTATACGTATCACCAATTTGCTTCCTCAAAAATTGTTAAGAGCGCAAGGAAAAATCATCATATCTGCAGTCCCTGTTGGGGTATTGTTATACGGATTGTTATTTACCTCAATGGAGTCCAAAGTAAAGCTCGGAGTATTCTTAATGTGATCAATTAAACGGCCAGGAGTGGCTATCACTATATCAGGATTCTGCCTCAAAACGATTTCCTGCGCCTTTACATCCAAACCACCGATAGCCAAACCAGCATCAATATTTGTGAATTGGCACAGTTGCTTTGTCACTTGATACACTTGAGCTCCCAATTCACGTGTTGGCACTAACACCAGAACTCTAGTAACTGTCTTATTATTCATCGGACGGTACAACAGACGTTCCAACGTGGGCAACATGTACGCGGCCGTTTTACCCGTACCGGTGGCAGCGCAACCACAAATATCTCGCCCGAGAAGGGCCACAGGTATGGTTGACGCTTGGATTGGTGTTGGATAAATGTAACCCAAAACGCCAATAGCCCTCATCAATGGTCTGGAAAGATTCATTTGGTAAAACGAGGTAATTGCCTCATTTGAATCAATGGCTTCTTCAAATTTCATTTTCTCATCCTCATTATCAGCATCACTTTCGTCACTTTCCTCACGTTTCCTCTTCTTCTTTCCCAGTTTTTTCTCCCTCAAGCGCAGGTTGTCGTGCTTTAGTTCATCTTCGGAAATATCAAGTTCTTCATCGCTGTCATCCTCCACATTTACTTCATTACCACCTTCCCCACGTTTTTTTAACCGTTCCGCAATTTTGTCATCCGTCTTCGTGCGCGCCTTGCGTTTTACATATTTCATCAAATCATCCCAAGTATCTTTATTGTACTCTTTTACTGAAGAAACAAATTCGAATCCCTTTTCAAACTCAGTAATTTTCCTTTGCTTGAGTTTTGTCGGTTGGTACTGAAAGGAAAGTTATTAAGACGAATATTAAAATCGTGCCCACATTTTAAATGCGACGTTCTTTGTACCTCAACCTCGGCATCGGAATCTTCGGATAAATTCTCGACTTCTGCATCCTCCTCTATGGTGGCAATCAAATCCATATTTTTAATTATTGTCATTTATTGTAAATTATATGAAATGAAAATGAAACAAAAAGACTGTGGGCAATTTGAAGACAGGAGGCAATACACGTGAAAACACAAGCTAGTGTTGCCAGATGGGTATATTTCAAATACAAAGCAAATTATCGACTACCAAGTAAAAGAACGGCAAAGAGTAACAAACACAATCACTTCGCCAGGTGGTGACTACTTCCTCTCCTTTATTATTTGCCATTTTCTCACTTGATGCTCGAGAATCAAATCTGATGTGCATTTTCTACAGATTAAAAACATTAATGTAAAACAATATTCCAGTGGAGTTATATATTGCAGTGGATTAGTAGTGTAATTGGATCCTCCGTAAGTAAAATAATTGTCAAAAGCCGCCATTTGGAAACCGAGTCATTAATTTGGTATTTAGTACCCGACGCCACAAACGTAGGACGCCGATCTCCTTTTGCAAGCAAATCTACCACTGCGAAAATAAAATTGACATTTTATATATTAAGGATATTAAAAGAATAAATGAATCCCGAATGTCCTTGTTACGCATAAAGAGCCGCTTGCAGAGTTTAAGAAACGCACAGAATATTCACAAAATGCTTGGTCAATTGGTCTGGTGTTAAATGAAAATGGAAGAAATTGAATACTTGGAAGAATATGAAGACATAGTGATTCGTAATTCGGGTAAAATTAGTTCAATTACTTTCCTCCACAGTAAACTGAAGTAACATAGTATTGTCCATTTCAACCATTAAAGCGATAAATTTGGGAGGTGCTGAAGACTCGAAGACGCCCAAACCACATGAAGATAAAGACGATGATGGATCTTCGTCGTCGTTAGACCAAGACATATTCAATTGCTTATTTGATGACAACTCTGAGGACGATAATGAGGAACAACAGCCCAAAAGAGGTAAGTGCTGCAAATCAAATGAACAAAGAAATGGCTTTTAAATATGTGCATTACAATATTTCAGATATGCCAAAACCAGATCAGCAGCGCGAATTAAGAGCTTCACTTGACTCAATAGATTTGATCAACGATTTGGGTAAGTAAAGGGGAGAAGGAATATACTGGATTTCCTTAATTTATTTCTTACGTAGGAGAGCAAGTTGCAAAGGAATTCGAAATATCCAAAGCTGCTGCGGGACAAACAAAAGATACTATCAATTCCGAAAATAATTGTAAGTGATGAACGAATGAAACTTATCATAAATGTTTTTACCCAAATATACTTGTTCCCATATAGCATCTGTGACATCAAACGCGAAAAGCTGCGTTAGAGTTAATACTTTAAAAAAATTGCCCAAAGTAAAAGAAACACTGACTAAAAAAGTGGTGATTCCAAGGAAACTGAATGTTATTAATGAAAAGCCCGAAAAAACCAGAAATCTCTCTACGACGATTTCTCTCCTCTCTGATAAACCAAGAACAAAATCTCTCTCCAAAGTGGGTCATTTGCCGACAACATCCAACGTTTTGAAAAGGTCTATCGTATCGAAAACATCAAGCGTAAAGCAGCGTCCTGCAACAATAGTAAAACCAGAAAAAATTATTACTAAAGATCCACCAGAAGACCCACTAAGTATGTAAAAACTGTTATTCATATGAATCGCTTCTTTAGCCAAACAATCGATGCGTAATTTCACATATTTTCTTGTTTTCTCCATTGATGTGTGCTTAGATTTAGACGAAATTTCATCAACTGAATCGGCTAATTTTTCTTCAGTCTCTGATATAACGGGAGAAACGTACAATAGTGTAAGTGAATTTGACGATGATGATTATGATTTCACAAGTCATATCGAGAATTTAGAAGAAGACGAGGAATCGAGCAATTCACAAATAATAGATATATCGAACGATTCCAGTGGATCACGTTCTCAGTTTGGTAAGTACAGCACTGTAGCATTTACTCAGCCACTAGGCAAAATAAATAATGTAAAATTCAGAATTTCTACGCGGCTCTACACCATCTCCTGTGGTATCAGAGGACCGAGATATGCATAGCTTACCTGGTACATCAAAAGGTAGAACTTCTCCGAAGCTCATGGCCAACCACGAGATCATTAAAAATTTAATGAAGAAAGAGGGAAGACCCAAACTGTTACAACTCATTAACGAACAGGAACATTTAAGCAAAGGGTGTCAAAAGGAATCAATAGGTTTGGATATATATCATATGCTAAATGACTATAATGATTTTTAAAAATTCTCTTTTAGATGATTCCAAAACAGGTGCACCATCTTCGGGCGGTTCGCCTAAACCTAGAGATATCGAGTCTGCGGATTCGCATGACTCTTACCTATCTGTGGTGAATGAAATGCTAGAAGAGTCATATGCCGAAGCTATGAAAAATAGTAAACATGAAACAATGGCAAATCAAGAAGTTGGAGCTGAAATGGAAATATCCATAGAGGAAACTACTGAAACATCAAATCTAACAGATAAAACTGATGTAATATGCGCTGTTAAAAATGAACAGGCCAAAAAGTCTAATATGGTGGCGAATCCAATAAGAGATTCAGGTAAAGAATCGGGTAAAACCAAAGGACAAAGCGAAATTAAACAGACAGAAACTGTGCTAAAGCCACAGTCGATAACTTCAATGGTATCGGAAAAAATCACTTCGACGACACCGAACCAAGAGAAAAACAAATCGGCTGTTCACTCAGCGAATGACGAGAGACGCACTGATAGGTCTATAAAATCTCTTGGCGAGAAGGACGAAAATACAAACAAAAAGGAATCTAAAGTTCCTGATTTTAAAGCCGACAAAGATTTTACTTTGGATGAGTGTGGATTTCAAGGATTTGCTGAAGATATAAACAAAATGACAGAGGAAGCATCAAAGGAAATACAAGAGCCATCTTCCTCCAATAAATCGGAAAGGCATAACAAACTGCCTGATAACCAGGAAAAAACTAAGATAATATTGGCCAATACAACCCAATTAAGAGAAACAGATTTTGATAATCATAAAATGTCGCAGTCTGGAGAAGAAGCATCGATAGAAATACAAAAGCCCGCCTTTTCCAAAACATCGGAAACGCATAAGAAACTGTCAGAAAAACAGGTAATATTGGAGAATACAACCCAATTAAGAGGAAAAGAAGCATCAAGGGAAATACAAAAGTCCGCTATTTCCAAAAAAGCGGAAACGCAGGGGAATCTGCCAGAAAACCAGGACAAAAGTAAGAAAATATTGGTGAATAAAGTCCAATTAAGAGAAACAAATATCGATAATAATAAAAATTCGCAGCCTAAAGTTTCACAAGACGTGTCTAAAATCACTATCAGAAATCCCTTTGTACATAGGAAAGTTAAGAATATTTCCACGAAGGATAAAATTGAACGAACATCCACTGGGTCCAATAAGACTCCAGAGAAATGTCCATCGGCGGATACAATAGAAGCTACAAATGAGAAATCACATTTAACTAAACCAAACAATACGGAACGGAGAAGTACGGGAAACAGTGAAATAGTTTTGAAAAAGGATTGTCATACCTTGAAACACATTACAGTGGCGGACAAGATAAAAGCTGTCGAAACTCCTGCTTGCTCGAAGGCACACCAGAAAAATACAAAAACTTTTACAAAAAAGCTCGAAAAAACGAGCAAAAAACCGTGTGCTACTGTCGAACATGAAATGATCGGTTTCGACTTAAAAGAAAGAAAACCAAACGAAGCATATAAATCGCAGCACGCAAAAGAAAATGAAAGTAAAGAGCTTTCTCGAGACTCTGAAGACAAAGTCGAAAATACTTCTAGCGAAAAGCTCGAGGTGCTTACTAAAGCTCCTAATCTAAGAAATCTGAATTGTAGCAAAATGGAGGTCCCGAAAACTGTTTTAGAAATAAATACAGAGGAAAAGAGAACATCGGACAACAATCCAAGAAATATGGTCCAAATCAAGGACAACAAAAGCACTGCTACAGATAAATCTAATAAGTCGGAGGAAGACGCAGTAATAAAAAACATGACAGAAATAGCAAAACTAAATCCTGATGAACCGCAAGAGACAGATGTCCCCATTAAAGCTCTGAAAGCGCCCGTATGTCAATTATCGGACAGTAATTCAACCTCTAATCAATCTGAAACTACTTTGAAAAATCAGTTACCATCTCACAAAAACAATAATGACCAGCACAGCGCCGTCGAATACGCCAAGCCTGTTAATGCACAGGGAAATAAGTTGGCGGAACCTATTGAAAAACGTCCAACATTATCGAAAAAAGAGTGTTCTACGAACAGTAGGGACAGCGATAATAAAACCGATGGAACTTCTCAAGTAGTTGTTACAGAATCCAAAGAGAAAGTTATGAATAAACCTTTTCAAGTCGAGATAAATAAAGTCGTTGATTTCGAGTCTATTTTAGTTGACAACGGAGAAAAACAACAATCGCCAGACAACAGAAATACACAGGATAGCCCAAAGGGATTGGATCGCACAGCTATTGTCAAGCAAATTGACCAAAGTAAAAAATCAGACCACGATACTGTAAACCTTAAGAGAAATATTCGCAAAATAAGGAGTACCACAAAGCAAGGTAGTGAAGAATTGAAAGAAACTCCCAAATTACAGAAACCTCACGATCCAAGTACCGATAAAAATGAAGATTTGGCTAAATGTTCTCCAAGAAAAAAGAAGGCCGCAAACGTCTTAACGGGAAGTGAAATTATGAAAGATTTAGAACACTTATCAATTACCGCTTCCGAATCTGATTCACGAGGAAATACTGGGAAAACTCCTGATAGAGTAACATCAATCAATAACAAAAGAGCGCGAAAGGCCAACGATAACAAAGAAGACGCACTGTCAAAGAATAGAAAAAATATTGTTGATTTTGCCGAAAGTAATTCAGTTAAAAACATAGAGGATAACATTGCTTCGCCGAATCGGGAAAACGTAAAACGAAATAAGAAACAAATGGAAGCAATGGTTGAGGTTCCAAAGTCTTTAAAAGAAAAATACGATGAAGCAAGTGGTTCTTCCAATAAACATAAAATATCTAGCTCAACAAATGCCGCATTGTCATCTAGTTCAACAGAATCGGAACGAAAAGAAAGCTTAAGCGACAAGCAAAACATTAATGTTGGAAAAGGAAGTCACAAGTCAAAGAAATGCGAAGGTTTCTCAGATGTGGTTGTAGAAAAAAAACCGAGTTCAAGGGAAGCGACATCTGTCGATCCAATGATGGATGCGCAGGATGCAAATTACAAAGATTACGCAGTTGACAACATTTCCGAAAAAGTATTACCGAAGCAAGACATTCAAAAAGGAGAGTCATCACTGCCTGAGCAGCAAGGCAACGACGAAGAGTCCCTTTCAAAGAAGAAAAATGAAGGGGTGGACCAAGTTAGAACATTGAGAAAACGCGCATTGGATACATCAACAAATGGTAAGTTGTTAATTGCAATTAACTCATACTCGAAATAATTTTTCAATTTTAGAATCCAAGAATATAGAATTGCCAAAAGAGCCACAGGCAGATTTGGAAATTAATAAGAAGCGAACATTGCGTTCGCCAGCACAGAAACCTGCAAATGAACTTGCAAAACGAACTAAATTAGATAGAAGTGGTAAGACGTTATTATTTTATCACCTTTATTATCTGTTTTTAAGAATATTTTACTTACAACAATTGAAAATACTTGATTCTGTTCTCTTCTGAAGCACGCATGCGAAATGTGGCTACGGTAAAAACGCCCCCAATCGTTACAGAGCCTTCACCCAACTCAGGAGTTATTATCGACGCGCCTTCTCAACACCCAATATCCGAACAAATCAAGGCATCGCTTACTACAGCAACGAGTAGCAACATGGCATCTACGGCCGTCGGCATTCTGCGAGATTCTGATACTGAACAATCAATTACAGAAATTCCGAAAATTGTGCCAGAAATAAAACCAGGTACCGAAAATCGGTCCGATACATCACTCAAAGCTAAGTCTGCCGATAATGCGTCTCCCACTAAAAAGGTAATTCTGTCAGAGAAGAAAAGAACAAAGCACTCAACAAAGAAAAATATATCGGATAATATAATCCCTTCGTCAGTACTGTCATTTGCTGAATGGTTGGATAAAAACAAGAAAGTCGAGCCAACTGAGGATAAACATATAGAAGACATGAATAATTGCAAATCCCGTAAGTCCGCTAAAACCAAAGGAGCTCTATCAAAGCATGGAATTGAGATTGAAGATCCCGAGAAAAGGCCGCATACGATTCATGGCAAGAAACGTGAACACAAACAGACGCCGCCCGAAGCTAGATTACAAAATATAGACTTAGCTCAAGATGAAAAAAATAGTTTCGCCCATAAGGAGGGTACCTTTCAAACTTCTAGTTCTCGCTCACGATCAAGACTAAAAAGACGTACGATTGGAAACGCACAGCAAACATTGAATAGCAGGCAGCAGGTAGATGTCGTCAGACCTTCTTCAGCCAGTCCCACAAAAGGGGATAAAAACAAGAAAAGAACCGAAATCGAAAAGCTCATAGAGTCGATGTCGAAAGAAATGAAGGACGGCGGAATTGAAGACTTATTAAACAGCAGCGACCATGTAAAGCGCCAAAGAGCCGCTTCCAAAAAGAACACATCAACAGATTTGGCGACAGCGCCAGAAAGATCGCTTGCAGGCAAGATAAATAGTGCAGGAAACAAGGGCAATTCAATTTGCGAATTTGCCTCAAAATCCTCACCCATTCGTCCAGCAATGCTAGATACAAAGTTTAAGAAACCAATTGCACCCAAGGAATTAAATTTATACGCAGTCAACAACGACTCAGTTCTTTCCATAGAAACGGAGAAAGCTCTCATTGACGAAATAGAAATTGTCAATATGAACTCCAATTTCTTGAAGCCACTTAAGTGTGCGGCCCCGAAAGAACTGCATCAAAATGAAACAAAGACTAACAAGCTAGGCAAGACTCATATGCTAAGCAATAAAAGCGCCCAGGCCATGAGATGTCGCAAATTAAAGGTGCGAATAAACCGACGTTTTGTTACCAAATATATGCAAAGTCTTGAAAAGGATAAAGTGTCAGAAGTATTGATGCAGAAAGGCAGTGGAAAACATGTAAAGAAGAAAGGTATTTATAAAGCTACATTTATTTCCATCCTTTTTTAACACTTGCTTCGCTATATTATATTTTTAGGAGCTGAGCACAGTGCGCCTCTTGTTGTGCAAAAAGATAGGCAGTCAGTCGTTCGTGTACAGACAACTGCTGAGATGCCAGTAAACTGCAGGGTTTGGACACTTGGGAGAATACATTCCATCATCCACATCAGTTCCACAATCAGCACAAGGAAGTGTGAAGGAAGGAAATTTGCCCACGATATTACCACACATACAAAACTCGCCTCATGTTGTCGAATCCACAAACGAAAATTCGCGAAACGCGTCTTGTATAAATAGGAATCTGCTATTGGATCCTGTCATTCCAGTCGAGCTGAAGCATGAATTCTTAGATGAAACGCCAGGTGGCCCACAGGGATGCATACTACCAGACACACCGACTCTTATAGCCAGGTCCCATTCCATTACACAGGCGGCAGCCAATGCTCTAGCAAACACAGCATTGCCAACAGACATACGACTGTTGACAAACGACCCTTTGACAAACATTCATGTGCCATCATTCGGTGTGACGCCAACGCTAATTGACGCCAAGGGAACTCGAATGTATACATTTTTGCACCCTGCCAAGTACAGTCGCAATCATAGCAATGTGTTATTAGATTATTGTTGTCCCAACTTAGACGGGCCTATGCCTGCAATTGATCCCACTAGAATTCACGCGCAAGTTCAAACTCCTGTTGTAGAATTGCCCGAATTCATTGTTCTCACAACAAAAGTAGTAACGCGGGCGGAATTGGAGAGTAACTCCACTGCTATTCCTGAAGTTATACGGAAGAAGGCGGAGAAACTACGAAGTAGTATAGCAAATCAACATGTTCAACCTACACCTTTGGGTAAGGCACTTGCAGTGGCTCCTGCGGCTGGTTTCGTGTCGGAACATGGGCGGACGAATCAAATGCAGCAGCAGATGTCACATCCAACCCAATCAACGAGTGCGCCATTGATGATGAAGCCTACACACTTACCTCCAGGTCCACATTTGTCGCCGGCCATAAACGCACTCACTAAATACTTGCCATCCACTACAACCATTACGCCTAAGATAAGACCAGCACTCCCACAGCCACCACTATCTATAGCGCTGCCACAAGCTAAGTCCAGTCCAACAACGTCTATATCAGTGGTGCATAAGGGATCAGACTTGCTAACTGATATGCAGCTAGACCTACTGAGGTCTAATCTGAGGCGTTTCGATGTAATTTTTAAGAAACTAGCTCAGCCATTTGATAAGCTCAGTTTTATAGAACGTCATCATATAATTGAAAATATTATAAAATCTGGCAAGTTTCTTCCTAAGGATTTGGACTGGAGCATAGTCTTAATGGAGGAGTATTTAAAACAAGTTAATTCTATGACGCAACGGGAAATAGCACCAATAAATGATGCAAATGCTAATTCCACAGCAACAACAAATCCATTACCCCACATTCAGATGACACCATTAACAGCAGCCCAAAACTCGGTGGTCGTTCCAAAGTCTTCGGTGTTTAACACCAATGCTCCGTGTCGTCAAAAGGAAATCGAATCACATCAAAAAGCGGAATTGAGAAAACAACAATCCTCTTCATCATCAAAAACCCTAAATACTGGGGCAAATATGCCTAACATAAGAAAGCGGCAAGTGCCTATTTATGATACGGAGAAAAATATAATCGGATATCAATTGCAAGTTATAACTCCAACTAGCAGTGCGACATCATCTTCGAAGGAAATGGTTAGACGATCTGAGGGCAATCCGACGACGACCGAGGAACGAAAGGCAACCAAGCGACCAGCTCAAGGATCTCCTCAAATATTTTACGCAACACCCCCCTTGCAAACATCAACACCGCAATCACATCTAAGGCCAGTAGCTTTTAACGTGCCGCAAGAAAGTTTCAAAAAGGCTGGAAGCAGTGCTCAAGTAAGTTATCCAAGTTTTTTTTTTTCTTAATTTACGACAACATTTGATTTTCATTTCTCAACACACATTTCTAGCATCATGGTTCTATTGTAACCACTTTGCGTTCTGCGGGCTCGGCGACCACTGGCACTGAAACTATTACCACAACAACAACAATGGAAGTTAAACGTGTCACACGTAGTCGAGCCGCAGGTTCGAAAATCATTATTATGTCCAAATCAAATAACAATGAAGAAGCCATATTGCCTGATGTCAGCCATCGTACAGAAATTAAAAGTGAACAGGATGACGTGAACGAGTTTGTCGGATAATGCTACTCAAAACAAATATCCTATAAATATGAGGCACATATTCAGTGGAATAACTGAAATTCGTCGTCGTACGATATGTATATTTTCCGCATAATTAAAATGTTGTCAAAAAAGCTTGACATTACCGACTTTTTAAAATAACTTATACTTCAGTACGTTAAAATAGTATATACAATATAACTTAAGAATATATACAACTATATATAGCTAAGTATGTTTGTAAAAAATATGATTTAAGAAAACAAAACCTGTCACCGCAAACCCATTTATTTAATTTTGAAGTGTATTCTATTCTTTTTAATTAATCGTATGAATCTGGATAAAATGTTTATGTATTTAGTTTGTTACAGTTAGATGTTTAGCTTTAATTTGAACTTCAATAAACGCATGGTAACAAACAAATTTATTTGTAGTTCAAGAATAACTACTTTTTTCAGTTTTTTATTTTATTTTATTTTTTTTTTTTTTTTGTTCTTCGTTAGAGAGTGATTCAATGGTTTTGTGTGGCGACATTATATATTAGTTTGTTTATTTCTTTTCAATACAAATGATGCTTTGGCCATGGTACAATGAAGAGAAGGTAGGCCAACTTTGAAAAAATTGCAAGTATAGAGGTCTACCTGTATGGCTTGTAATGTCAGAATTAGTATCAAAACAATAAAAAATCAAACAACTTGTTGCATTTATTTTGAATAAATAATTGAAAACCGCGATAACTGAATGAAAGGTCAACACTTCTTTTCAAAATCATGTACTATATATTCTAAAGGATTATTTCGCTACAAAAACTCTAGATTTTGTCGATGCATACGATGAAATAAACATTTTGAAAACACCCGAATTTGAATATTTTCTGAACAATTTTTTTGTTATTGAAAAGAAAACACATACATGAACAAATAAAGATGACATATTAAGCCAAGAAAATAAAAAAAAATTAAAATCATATGGTATCATAGCCCTACCTTGATATCATTGTACCATGGCTTTGACATTGTTCTAAACTAGATTTTGCTTGAGAATATATATATATTTTTTTTGAACTCGAAATCAGTTGGAACGTGTGGAATTAATCTAATCAAATTTAGAAATAAATAACAGATGGTATTATAATTACGTATGAACGCGTTTGTTGTTCAACTATTAATGGGAACATGTTATTAGATAACGATGTGAGAGTTGTTTTATTTCGATTGTAAATCGAAACCCCGTTATATATAATGTTGTCATTCACTTTCTTTGTTATAAGCCAATACTATCGAGTAAAATGGTTCAACATATGCATTCAGCTTGACTCTTTACATAATCGGACGTTCAAATGTTTTACGCGATTTTTTTTTTTTGGATGTTTCGGAGACATCTCTCTTTTATAACACCGGCAATAAATCTTGATAATGTAGGTTAATCCGGATACAATTTTGTATCCAAACGCGCTATAAGACCATATCCAGCCGCCAGTGTTTTCGTGTTTTCCGCCGTTTGCAGGGAACATGGCTTCGCTTTGCCTTTTGTTTTGTGTTATCATCTAGTTTTAAGAAAATAAGAAGAAGAATCAATAAAAATGGCGGATTTTTCTTATTGAAGACAGACGCATTTTTCTTCTTCTGAAATTGTAACTATATACATAGGAAATAATTGGAAAACGATAAAATCATCCTATATGACATAAAGGGATATAAACAATGAAGGTTACTAAAAGTGATATATCATTGGAACTTGAGTGCTGGGTTGAAGAATTGTCGCCGGCCCAGCTTGCAGCCTACGAAAAAGTGGCCAACGAGCATAATGCCATTAAAAATGCTTTAAAAAGCGCCCTTACGGCAAATGAAGGCAAGGAGTTGTTTAATGGACAAGTGTTCCAGGCATATTCATTCAAAGGGAAAGTGTTGCAGGAATTAAAGGAGGCCACTATACCAAAGAAACCTCTGAAGACTGAAACCACTCCCAGTAGTACAAATGACAAATCCTTTACGCGTTCTGGACGAAAAAGGGCACCGAATTTTGTTTATTTGGAGTCTTCCGACGAGGAGGAAGACGATGTGCCATTGGCGAAGAGAATCGCAACAGCCAATGCAAAGGGCGGAAAGGGGGCTAGTGTAGATTCGACGAAGAGTGTCAAAAAAGGTGAGAAACCAAAGATAGTCTTGTACTTAAATGTGAGATTTGGACATTTAAGCTTTTTATCAAAAAAAAAAAAAAGAAGATAGTCTTGTACTTAAATGTGAGATTTGGACATTTAAGCTTTTTATCAAAAAAAAAAAAAAAAAAAGTTGGTCTGATTAACAATATAAAAATGACCCTCTGGTCTAGGTGCAATTATGTTCATATAATCTAAATTATATATTAATTTTCAGGAGACAGCAAGAAAGACTTGGTGACACCTGGTAAGGGTGTTGTCAAAGGGACGAAGGAGAACAAAGCCAAGACTGTAAAGACAGAAGAAACTTCTCCGCCTGCTCCGAATTTCAGACCATCGGAAGATTCTGCTGTCGGTGGACTAATTGTTGGTTCCGACAATAAAGATGGCAAAGGTTCAAAGGAGAACAAAGACGGAAAGTTGCAAGGCAAAACATTTCCATCCTTGGTTGTTTTGGCTAAACCATGGCTTAAAGTCAAAGACATGTCAGCAACTCGCAACAAGTTGGATTCCAAAGTTAAGTTGGTGCTAATGTTGACTCCCAATAAATTCACGGAGTGGTTGATCCAAGAAGGTCTTCTGAAAGCAGAACAAAAATGTGCGAACCATAAAAACAATGATCTGAAATTAGGTAAAATGATAGAAATATTAAAAATGAACTATTATTCGAAAGTCGTTTATTAATAACTTATACCTTCGAACAGGTGTTTATTCGGACGCTTCAAAATTTCCATACACTGGCGGATATGTCTGGATTAGTGAATGTTGCCCAACAAGATTCGTTTCGGTCTTTCATGGCTCAATATTTGAAAGTGCACCCCATCCACCCTCTTGTATACTCAAACTTATATACCATTGGGCATGCCAGACAAATATCCAGAATGTTGTACAATGGGTAAAGGTGGACAATGTGTATATAAAAGGGGTGTACACCTGGCTACGTGCTATATGCACATTGGCTGTGCATCAAAAATGCAAAAAATTAGGTGGACCGGATAAGTTTGTTGAAGTTGGGGTCATTTCGTTCGGTACGACATCACAAGATGGGCAGCAACGCCAATTAAAAGTAGAAGTTTTGGGCGTCTTAGACTATGCAGAAAAAACCATTAGACTTCGAGCGGTGGAACCCCTCTCGGATTCCGACCGCAATTACAAGAAACGTTTTCAAGTTATATTGGAGCCTCTTCAGCGCTGGGTCCACAAGGATAGTACTATATGCATTGACTTGACTGTGGACAAAATGACATTGTATTCGATGGGATTCAAAAATGTAGTTCAAGCCGCGGCAGCAGATAATTCGGCGAAGCATACAAACTCGGCGGTTATGGACTATTTGAGACGCATAGTTCCTCGCATGTTCCAGAATACGTTGTCATTGCTCTCGAGGCAAATGATTCAACAGTTCCTCGACGAATTAGTGTGGCGTGAACAGTTTGGCACATATGCCCTACAGGCCTTCAACAATATCACAAGCCACATTGCTGAACAAACCCGCATAAACTGCAATGAATCCCTGACCCAGCGATTGTATCACGTAAGTTAGAGATGCAGTTTCGTACACTTCGTATCAATGCATAAAATTTTTTTTGTTTTTAAATTTCAGGTAGCCACAAATCCCTTCAAAGACTGGAGTGTCCTGCCGGCCAATGCCAAGGAAATCCCGGCCAACACGACACCCAAAAGATTGAAGAAACGTTAGTAATATTCTTCTTTGTTATCAATAGTGTATACCTGATCTATACGCAACAGAACAAAAGATGTTGCAAGCTGAGGCTAATATTCTAAGAAACCCCTGTCCCAATTTATGGATAGTATGTCAAAGTTAACCTGCATTTCTTTCCCATTTTCTTTTTTTTACGAAGAAACATTTCTTAAAGCATTTATAACTCAATGACTACAGCAATGGCAAATGCGTTTCTTTTTCTGGACGTGATTATAGGCCAGAATATTTACATAGTATCGTTAAACTTCAATTTTTTATGTTTCCCACTAGCTTTTAAGCATTGAACTCCTAACGTGGATTTTGTTTGTTATCTGTCATTTGCTATAGAAAATTATTTGAAACAAAATTTGGGTTAGTAGTCCAAATTGTTTAAATTTCTCGCGAATTTTCAAGTTTTTTAAATATTATTTAATACTGAACATTGTTAAACAAAAAGCATAATTTGTGTTTATTTTCATTTTCTGTTTTACAAATAAATTTTTGCTTTCACAAAAATGACTTTCTTTCATTCGACCTTGTAACTTTTGTTTTCAAAGTGAAGTGTGTTTCCCCTTCTCCATGTTTCTATTATGCTTTTTGTTATAACTCTGTCAATGGGAATCTAAGGTGATACAAATTATTTCGATTTGCGATATTTTTTTTAGCAATTAACGAAGCGGATTATGTTAACAGCGAAAAGGTGAATGTTAAGAACATCAAAAAAGAGAAGGATGATGACATAGGATCGTCAACTTCGGGCAATAATGGTAAAAAGGGATCTGCAAAGAAGGATGAGTACAAAAAGACAGGATCTGGTAAAACGACCTCGCTGACAACTAAAGGAGGTGCGTCTATAATCGGTACGAAAAAAGAATCTTCGTCAGTGGGTAAGAAACCGTCCGTGGATGGTGCTAAACCGACAAAAAAGGAGAAGGAAGATGATGAACTAAAGGGCCTCGAAGAAATGTACTATGGCATTTTGGATGGACAAGAGAAATTTTACGAGGAATTCCCAATGAAACCTATCACAAAAATGGAAGAAGGTACAATGGCGATTTATGCAACGCACGTTGAGTGCCCCATATGTGACACGGCTACTACATTCGATTCCAACGAAAAGCTTCAAACTCATTTAGTATCCCATCTCAATATTGATGGGAAGAATCACAACTTACAGTGTCTCTTTTGCTTGGAGAAAATGGACTCCGAATCCGTATTGGCCAAGCACAATAGCATTATGCATCCGGAGGAAACAAAAAGCTCAAATTCAGCATCATATCGATGCCTTATATGTTTCAACCGTTTCAATTCTCTGAATTTCTTGACATCTCATTTGCAAAATAAGCACTCCATGCTGGAGCTGCCGTATCACTGTCAAGCTTGTGGGTACAGAACATCTTCGCACAGGGATGCAATTCGCCATTACTATGATGACCACAAGCACCACAATTTCCTACAATGTCCACATTGTTTGGATGTAAGCAGCACAAATGAATTTTCTAGACGTCAACAAGTTCAAGTTTCTCGCTTTCTTCCCACAGATATATCGCTTTGCTTATAAGGGCCAGATCAATCAGAGCAACATTGAAAACTATTATATGCACTTGCGGCAGCACATGGGTAAAAAAGATCCCAATCTCAAATGCTCGAAATGTTCTTTGACTTTCTTGGACAAAGGTATACGTGGATAATTCGTTATTTTGTTACAGATATTAATTGTAGTTTTTTCTCCACAAAGGTGCTTTAAGACAACATATCTCTAACCACCACTCCAGTCTGTGGAAAAATTCATCTCATGTCCGCAAACTTTTAAAAAATTCGATGCTTATTCAGCCACCCAAGGTAAATTCGATAAAATTGTTACGTGTCGGATACTAATAGTTGTGTATGTTGTATGTAGGTCCGTAGCCACCACAAGGAACCCTTGCCGTATACTATACAGTCTAAATTAGGGGAATTTTACGCCTTCATTGATGGCTCCATATGCGCCGAGTGTAATACGGAAATTATCAGTGAGCATCATTTTATGTAAGTAAATATTAGCGTGCCCGCCATTCTGTTTAATTTGTATAAATGTTCTTTTTTTTGCGGTGCTCGTGCTCAGCGGAAATTTGAAGTGCAATAAATGCAATTACAAGACTTCGTGTGAGCGAGCCATGTTCCAACATACCAGTGACTGCAACGGCGGCAATGGTACAAAGGATATAATGGAAATGCCACTGCCCAATGAAATGCATTGCATATGTGGATTTTCCACGGCCAATGGAAACAACATGGCTTATCATTTAGCCACTTGCGGTCAGAAGTCGGCATATCCGACTTTGCAAATGGCGCAAGAGAACACCGTTAAACGTAACATGCTTGACATGCTTGGCTTGGTTAAGAGAGATGGTGAAACAGGTGGAGATTTAGATGGAGATCAAGCTGCTGCTAGCTCTTTTACGACCGGTAATGTTGATGGTAATGATATTTCCGAGCACCAATCCCGGCTTGATAATCGCACAAGTGATGGCAACTTGCAACATTCGGATGATGCCATGGACACCCAGTCATCTTCATTGGCCCCAGACCAAACTCCCATACCATTTGGTCAAATCGACGCAACTCCTGTTGACCAACAACAACAACAACAACAGACGTCACAACATTATGGACAAATAGTTGATAACAGTAGCCACTTGCAAGCTGCTGCTCAGCAGCAGTACCACATGGGCTTTGGTCAAAGCGAGGTCGCACCACATACGTTAAATGCAGCCGACATTGATATGCCTTTAATTGGTGAATTAGCCGATCCCAATCCCCCGCGAACCCCCCAATTTCTAGGAGAGGTTCATACGCCCATGTTTGACCCAGCTGCTGCAGCTGACCAGCACTACCATCAAATGATGCAGCAGCATCATCACTTGCAGCCGCATCACCAGCAACAATGAAAATGACCCAAAAATGTCAGGGAGCGTCTTCCCTGGCAGTACTACTAAAATTGAACTTTTTACGTCGGTGTGCATTTTATTGATAGATAAAGTCCAACAAAGGTAATCAGAGATATCCTAGAAATGTTCCTCAGTAAATAATAATGAAATACTTGATTTTAGCTTCAAAAAAGGCAGAGGGGAAGCAACAGAAACTAAACATTGGAGAAAAAAAAAACAAGCAACTGTACAACTGATTATTGACACAATATACACTAAAATGCCCATTCTTCACGGCAACGCAAATATCAATACTTTACACATTACGACAAGTTTACAAGATATTTAAAGTATACTTATTTGCAAATATTAATATATAAAATATATATACTTCATATATATATATATATATATATATATATATATATATATATATATATATAAATACTAAAACATAATCCTCATTATATACCACAACCCATCCTCCTTAATTTGGTTATTTTCGTAGATAGGGTTGTTTACAAGTTAACACATCAATGAATGTTTTGACCCGAACTAATCAAATTATTCGATATGATTTTTCTACTACTGATGTGATTTTTGTTTCAGCTGTGAGATAAGGATCGCTGACAAAACTAAGGCAGTGTCCAATTCCTGTTGTGTTCCTTTCTCACTGTCTAATACAATTTCCGATGCTCGATCATGAAATCGGGACAACACTCTTGGGCGGTAATCTGAAATGACATTTTTTTTATTTTTTACGGTCAATGGATATATTGAATACGAATTTCAGCTTTTTACACGATGGAATGGTTCAAAATAAGTCGCGTTTAAGCCATTCATGTTAATTGAAAAATCGTGTAAAAACTGAGTTCGGCACACTTAAATAAAAGTGCTTCAAACATACCAACACTGCTAGCCAATGGGTTTCCTGTTAATCTCAAGGTTTCCAGCAATGGTAATGATGCAACGTTATCCACCTCCTCCAGGTAGTCTATAAGATTACAGCTAATGTCCAGATTTACTAGTGACAAGAGTTTCCTGAGACCTCTAATGCATTTCAATTTGTTCTGAGATAAGTTCAAAGTAACTAAATTGCCCAGTTCCAAATGCCAGTCACTGCAATCAGCTATCAGGTTAATTGATAAATTCAATGCCTGCAAATGAGGAAGCTCGGCCAAATTCTTAATATTACGCAGGCGATTTTGTTCTAAACTCAATATTCGTATTTGCGGCACAGTCCGAATACTTTCGTCGATTTGGGTAAGTAGATTGCTGGTAAAATCGAGTTCCGTTATATTGTGCCACGTCCGATTCGTCGTAATCGACGTCTTGATCAGTGATGAAGACGAATTATTTCCACTGGGCGACGAACGCTTCAGTAGTGATACATCTTCCGTTGAGGGTACATCAATGGAGGTGTCCTTGTGGACATCGTCACACAGCAGCACTTGATTTATGGAAGTAATAGTGGTATTGTGGACACATATTTTCTGCAGAGAAGGTTTCAGTAATGCTATGTCAATGATATTTTCCGAAGGAATAGCGAATATTTTCAAGCAGTTGAGATTTCGAAATGCATTCAGGTTGAACTTTAATTTTTTGGGAATAATATTACTACGACCTATGGGGACATCGACAGCGTTGTAGTCGTTGCCATAGGAGTCTTCACTGCCTTTAACAGGAGTTATTTGCATGACTTCTAATTGCGTGCAAAAATCCAAAACGTGTGAGAAGTCGAACTTTCCTCTGTGTTCTATACTTTCGGGGGGACAAGGCAAGTTCAAACGTTCACTGATCGCATAAACCTGTGTTCAAGAGAATAATTATGCGCATTTGTTCGCCATTAGCCAAGACATATTTCGTCAACTTACCTCCAAGGCTGAAAAATGAAATTCCTTTTTGGTCCTTAGTATGGCTTCCCCATTTTCGTTAAAAAGCAATGCTAAGTCTTGCAAAAGGTAAACAATATCATATCGGTTGAACTCTAGAAATTCAGCCAGCACTCTTGGCAATTGTATACGAAAAAAAACTAGTAGCTCCTTTAGATATTTTTCCAGCTGTACTCGACGTTGTTCAAGGAATGTTGGGTTTTTATTTCCGACAATCTAAAAATATATGTTTTTGCTTATTATTATACAAAAAGTATACATATAATATAGAATTTGAAGACCTTTTTCGGAGGCAGCAGCTTCTTCGATATGCTTATTTCCTCGATCAGTTTCTCATTGAGATTGTCGAAATCTTTGTATCTACGACTCACGAACCATTCTGTCTGACCAACTTTAATCTTTATGTCATAGTATGTAACAGACTGTGTGTCACTAGTTCGGAACTCAGGAACAGTGATTTCGCAATCCTGGCGAAAATAGCAAGACATATCGACATCAATGGCTATGCTTGGTGTTGAAGATCGAAGGTTTTTGGTGTTGATGGAAAAGTTCGGACCAGAGCCTACTGAAGGTAGGCCAGTGAGCACATCTGCCTACAAAGTTTGCTGTCAAAATACATAATTGTGATTTGCAGTTCCATAAAAGTCAAATCACAATAGTGTAAAGACTGCTAAGCAAGGTCTATATAAGGTCGGAAAAGAAGAGTACTTAGTAGTTTTTACACGATGTGATTTGACTTGCTTTGAATTTTAATTCACAAGTATGTTTTTGTCGGACTGCCCTACCTTATGTAGGCCTTGGTACGAAGTTTATTGCCAATTTGCTAGCAGGACAAATTATCTTGAATCGGACACATCTAGTGTGTATGTGATACTTGATTATTTTCATCATTGTCATGGCAATTTTATTAGGTCATTCGATTAGAGGGGAGGGGGATTTTAACCGTTTGTGTTAGGAATATTAAATGTGAAAATTGCTACCCGAACTTGCAGAAATCATTGTAATTATATCATTTATTCAACGTAATGCATGTTTTTGGCATATAAGGTTCCGTCAGCAGTCTGGTAAGATTACTCCATACTCTGCCATATAGCAAACAGAAAACTACAATAAGGATCGAAAACCCCTCATAATGTCATCCTTTTTGTTTACATTAATTTTATTAAGTAATTCACAATTGGCGTACATTTTGACAGTGCGGGTGAAATCAGCTGTTCTTATTGGATGAACTAATAATTAGGGGTCTGAAGGTTCAAATATGGAATTACCTTCATATGTTATCACACCAGATTCCGTCTATCCACCATATTCGCACATGATTTCCTCGGATTCCATCTTCCCACAGTATTCACAGTTGATTCCTTTGAATTCCTCTTTAGTCTTAGTCGAGATTTTATTTTCTTCGGGTTTTGACGTGCTGTTCGGATGACGGTATTTGTTTTCTTTAGTTTGATAATCAAGGGCTGCAAATTAAAAGCTTAATAAAAATATTAAACGTTACGGATATTCAATTAAAATAAACATATGTAAGGAGTTGCTAAGATTCGTTAAGATATACCATGAAGTGAATCGCAGGAAATTTGACTATATTGAAAGTTATTTGGAAGAAATGTGTGTGTGTGTGAATAAAAGATCATCGTGTAAAAATGATCTCAGCGATCTCAGCAAAGCAAAATTAATACAACAAAAAGTCAATATGGCCGCCACTTGTTTGATGTTGGTGGTGTTTTAACGTTATAAGATTGTAACAATAATAATAAATCGAAAAGAAGGAAGTAAATAGTGCTCAAGTGTGAAACTTTGGCTGCAAGAAACCAATAATTCAGCAGCCGCACAAATAATGTGAAATTTTAATTCCCGACCATTGTCGTTATTAAGGTAACAACTGGAAGAAGAGAATTTCATAGTGTATATGTAATATATGCAATCTTAGACGCTTATTCATAAATCCATAAAAATTGTCCAAAATATTTGTCTTATATGTGCGACGTATTGTTCCGAAATGCTCGTGAGAGTCAATCGTTTAATGGTTAGTAGGTGCGGCAGTACAATGCTTGTAATGCTTTGTTCAAGTTTTCCAAAATGAGCCTCTACTTCCAACATCAGAAAAAATTAAATCATTTGCATTTTGCTTTTGTGCAGTTTATTTTGAAAATAAGGTAAAATAAATTGAGCGATCGCATTTTGTTTAATTGATTTTCTTTTCTAAAACTTTCTTTCATAATTCTCTCTTTTTTGTCTCTCGCTATCTCTGTTCTTCTTATTGGTGGGTGTTGCCATATGTTTGTGAAGTTTGCGGTTACTGTGGCGCTGATTGTTTTTGGTAATCGGGGTAAATAAAGGTAAACATATTGAGAATTGGCAAATTTTTTATTATATATAGTCCAGTTTTAGGCAATTATAGATTTTCTGGCTTGATAGGAAATTTTATAAATTCCTGAGTTGTGTTTTATGTTCTATGCCGCACAGTGGTACATGGAATTATTTTACACTGTCTACTGGAAAGTGTATAAATCAATTAAATTAGACACGGCTGCCTCTTTATTTGGCTTAGTCTTATATCTATGAAACAAGTCGTCATAGCTCTTTTTTGGGGCCTTGCTGTTTTTACTCAATAAGTGTTTCTTAACTTGATCTGGGAGGACAACTTAAAGGTTGTTGCCAATGTTGACAAGTTACTATTTTTTTAAGGTACTTGAAAAAGTAAATGAGCAAAGCACCGACGACAATAGGAAGAACAGCTTCCTCCAGTGGTGTTTTCAATTTCAATCTGTGTTGTTCCGGCGTAGTTTTAAAAATTTTGCTCAGATGGAAAAGAACTAAATCTATAATTATGAAAAGGACCAACCATTACTGTCAGCCTTTGTCACAAAAACAATAGAATCTATACTGCGTCTCGCTCTTAGATTAAATATTAAGAATAAAAGTGGCCGAAACCTTCAAAATCAGAAGTCATCGCTATAGAAACTTAACCTCGATTGGAACATTTTTGCTGGAAAAGTTTTTATACTCTGAAAGCCTTAAAGGCCACTGTATAGCTATTTTTTATGGGGAAATGTATGTAGGAGTTATATCAAACAGTGGGCATTATTAAACATTAAAAACATTAAATTCCTTTTCAAAATTTTGGGAAAAATAAAGATTAAAATTGGAAAAAGTTAACCTTTTACGATCTAATATTACTGTAAATTACAGACCTGTAACTTTTGTCTGCAGAGTTCGATATTAACAGTAATTGTCTACCCACCTCTGTTCTTTATATTGCAATTGCAGCGAAGCGGATTCTTTTGCTTTTTACACATTCATTTTAAAATAAAATTTGCAATTGCTAACTTGCATGCCTATATTGTATGGTCCGAATAATACCTACTTAGGAATTTGCGGGAGAGAAAATTGAGAGAGGTTCCAGAAAAAGTGACATAGTTATATACAATTTGAATGCTATTTGTGTTCAAACCCGATATTCAAACTAAATGCCTTTTGAGTTACTTCTTGTAATTTCATTAAACATTATTTGTAGTTTCGTTCTTTGTATTTCCTTTATTCCCCGATGCCTGTATGATGTCAAACAAGTAATTGGACTATAAGTGTTTGTGATGCCTAACTACACAATTTTGCGTTGGAGAAGTCGTCTGCCAGCAACACTTAAACATTTTTGACCAGTGACATACGGCAAATACATAAATGAGGTCTAGTCCCGTTCTAAGTGCAATTTTAATATATAAATGCTAAGTCGTCTGAATATAAGATACCTTTTAAGTAATAAATTGAAAAATAAACGTGACTTTAAATATTTTCAAATTTGCATATAACGTGTTAAATTGTTGCCTTAAATACAAAAAGACGTAACTTGGCCGAAGTAAAATAAATGTTTCCTTTTTCTCTGTTTGAAAAACATTTTCCATATAGAATAATCGAAGGGCAAGAATTGACCAATATTAGGCCACCAGACCTATGGAAGACCCATCAATCACTAAGAGGTAAGTAACAAAATGTTTCTTATGTTACCATCACTGCTAATTAACAAATAGTGGTAGGAAATGTCTAGGGCTGCTGATTTGCGCCAGCCTTGAGCAGCTGGTCGACTCCTGCTCGAATCCGAATATTGACTTTGTCGTTCGTACTCTGGAGTCCATTTAATCATTTGTAAACTGCGATGAAAAAGAAGACGTGATTACTTATGTAAAAGGACTGTTATAACTGGGCCAATGGGCGTTTTGCCTATACAGAGGGAAATAGTGTCTGAAATATATGGACGCTATACTTAATCGTGGATCGATACCAACATCGATACCAACCATCCTAGATAATACAATATTGTTGTTGTGTTCACCCCTTAGAGCGTTAAATCGATGTTGTACTTCATGAGGTCCTGTGAGCAAGAAAATATTAGACTTTTAATCTATGTAATAATTACCTTCAATGCAAAAATTATATGCGTATTTGCAGTCACGATAGCTTTTAGATGGCTTTCCAAGTGGAGTCAACTCTCGTTTTAACGAAGAATAGTGTTCATTTCTTAAAAATTAAATCGGCGAATAGTTTCTACTGATACTTTATTCGCAAAGATGATAAAACTCCACAAACTATTAGCTAACTGGTGTGGAATAGTGCAACAAAACATGAATTTATATGTTTATGAAGTTGCAACTTTCATGACACTTTTCTGATCATCTACTACCCAATTAAAAATACATCATATATAACAAATCGTATTTCACCTATGTTTTGTTATATCTTGAAAATAGGCTTCGTCAGAATTTAATGTAATGCTTGTTTTTCGGTTCTCTCTCATACACTTTTGAGAAAATGCAACTCCATAAGTCATTCGTCCAGTTAACCAATAGAGAGACTCTATCTTTTCAACAAATGCACCACTCTACAAACACATTTGTAGCGATAAAGACTTTTGATGAAAATAGTTGAACTTTTAAGAGAATTTTTAGTTGTGTCGCGGGGTCTTTCGCGAAAGTGAGTAGGAGGTATTCATGGAGGGATACATTCAGCCATGGAATTTAATAAAAACCTCATGATACCTAACATCAGCTTGTGTTGTTCTGTTCAAACCTGTTATTTGCTGAATGTCATTCGTATTTGCACAAATTTCCGTAGTTGTTTTGTACATTTTCCACACCATCTATTCACTACTTGTCGTCCGTATGACTTTTGGGGGTGATTTCGCCTTTGTTACGATTCAATTTTCTTCTTTGCGTTTAATTTGAAATTAGGTTGATGGTTTTTGCTGGTGATGAGGTTGTTAAATACTGACTGACTGAGGGATGGTGGTGCATTGGTGTTTGTTCTCTTACTTGACTTATGGTCGGCCATCGATGACATCATATCAACCAAGTATAACATAAATTTTTGATTTTACTTTCATCGCCTTGTCCTAACTTTAGTTCGGCAATTAGGTAGCACAAACCTGACTTTTATGATACAACCAAGAAGAGTCTATTATGATAAATGAGAGAGCGGGGAGAAGTAAGAAGACGATGGTGCATTTCAATCCTCCTAGATCAAATCGAATATAATCGAAGATCCCCGTAATGTTTCTACATTGGAAGGTTTTGATAAGATCTTGAAAATGGTTATTCTCTTGGTTGCCATAAAATATTCAGAACAATCAAATAACTCATTCTTTAACAGCAGAATTTTTTGAAACGATACTTGTCCAGAAGTCTTCCTAAATGTGTGCATTTTTTTTTCAGGTTGATTGATTTTGGTGCTGACGAACATGATTATGACGAAGTTCAAGACTTGCCTGAAGAATCAACAGCCAATAATCAATCATTGCCCTCTTCTTATAATAATAACTCTGTTCCTCTATCTGAATGTCAAGCTGCAACCAGAGATACAGAAGCGCCTAACAGGAACAACAATAGCACTGTGCCCGAATTGCCGTTACCAAAACAATCCAAAAGTGCATTAAATAACACGAAGCCCGGCAAAACGAAATCGGCAAAAGTTTCCAAGTCGAAAATTCCGAGATCACCGTCCTTAGCAAGTGCCTTAGGCTACAACAATTTTCAGCCACCGCCAATTTCGGGAATACCTCCTCAAACTCCACCTCTTCCATTGGCTTATCAAAACAAAGGAAAGGCGCTGAATTCCCCAACTACACCACTGGACAATAATAATGCTCACTTTTTCGGTAGTAGTCACACCAGCTTAATGGCGGGAGGAAATAGTGCGAACAGTGGAGGTTCTATTGGTCTCTCTACCTCTAACGGTAGTGGTCAACGCAACAGCCTCAATATGGCTGCCAATTCACGACGTTCTCAGATACAAGTATCGTCACCCGTGCCTGGGGATTCATCTAAAAATTTCCAATTTCTAACATTGACAGTGAGAAAGGACGAGAATGGATACGGAATGAAGGTAAGTTCTGTACGAAGAATGGAACACATTACAATTTAATTTTGGAAAAGAATGTAAAAAGAAGAGTGTTATCCTAATTGTTGGATTATGCTATCATTATTGATTTGTATTTAGGTTTCCGGTGATAATCCAGTGTTCGTTGAAAGCGTTAAACCAGGGGGCGCTGCCCAAGTCGCTGGTCTAGTGGCAGGTGATATGATCCTTAAGGTAAATATTTGAGTTTTCAATCACGCAAGTCTTCCAGATAATACTCTTGACCTTAACTTTTTTTTACTGAAAGGTTAATGGCACAGAAGTCCGTTCTGAAAAACACCCAACCGTCGTTAGCTTGATCAAAGGTAGGTTTATTTAATCTTACTTTTATCCAGTCATATGTATATGCTTGCTACGCATTTCAATTAAAAAAGTAAATGGATAGGGGCTGGCTACTTCGGAAGCTTTATCTGATAACGACAATGAGAAGGGGGCAACGATATCTCAATGAACTGCATACATAGAACATGGATATGAATTTATATTACACACATCTACATATATTTTTCTATAGATATATATATATATATATAACTGGACTTGTTACATTCTCTTGGACTGTCTCGCAATCACTGTTCTCTGTAACCTCCTCAGTGACAGCTGAAAGCAGAAGTGACAGAAAAGGGTGGTGAACGCACAACCAAACGAACAGCCACTTTGAACTCACACAATCTAGTCGACGACGCATTTTTGAGGCGAATTAAATTGCGAATTAATCACTGAAAGGAAATATAGAATCAATTAATGAAGAACGATGATTAACGACGAGAAATTGATAAGAGCTGATGAAGAGTGGAGTTGGTTCCGGTAGCCGTACGAAAAACCAAAACAATAAAAAACATTGATAGTTGAGTAGATGGTGAATTGAATTTTTGTATTTCTTTTTTTAAGCGAAGAAGTGCAATGTGTGCGGGGTAGAATTGCGCCCATATAATGCGGTTTGTACGTTCTTTCATACGCTGCTCTCTGAGCTACTATGCAAATTGTATATGAAAGCATTATTAGCACCCGTGCAAAGCAACTGATAAGAAGGTCTACATAAGTGTGCTCATATGAATGCACCAAAGAAATAAATATTGGTCATGTATATAACTTCGTTCCTCCACAACCTTCATCAGATATGAAGCATGCAAAAGTCGAATCATATATAGAGATGAACTGTATGATATTTTTCACTTTTCACCTCTATGACTTGCGATATTGTAGAATTTGCAACGTTTGGTCCTGCTTAATTTTGCATTCCCCCCTTTGTGTTTGGATGTGATTTCTAAAGTGCTGATAGTAGGCCAAACTTTACTGTTTATTACCGGCTTGATCTAATGTTGATTTGTTCCAACAATTAGCTGTTCAATGTGCGGACACACTACGACCAATTACTGTGGAAAATATGTTGAGTAATAAATTGCACACACACACACATACATACACAGACATCCAGATGCAAATAGCAATTTAATTGAAATATGTCGTCACAGCCGCATGAATAAGTGAAGAATTTTAGTTTTGGGATATACTTATTGGGACAGGAGACTTATGACATATAGAAACCCATTCCATATATAAGTTATTCCGTTTAAGTTATGCTAGGTCAGGTTTTTAATGCATTATTCCCCTTATGTACGCCCTTCTTGTTATATTATATATATATTATCTTTGTCATTCCGATTGTAAGTCCTCGAAATACTCATGTCAGACCCAACAAATTTTATATATATATATGTATATAGTCGATTTAGCGATGTCCATCTGTCTGTCGGTTATAATCACTTTCTAACGAATTAAGATAGAAGGCTAAAATTATGCACACATGTGTATTTTGCAAGTATAAAGGTTAAGTTCGAAACTGAACCATGTCGGTCTACGTTTTCATTTGACGGTACCTCCCAATATTCGTTTTTTGATGATTTTAGCAAGAATATTTACCGAAAATGTTTCAAATTTCGTATTTGAAGTTCGTAATGGATACTTCAATACTTGATGATATAAGCGACACTATTCACCGGGATTGTTTTAAATTTCGTATTTAAAGTTCGGAATCGGTACTACAGTCTATTTAAAAAAAAAATAAATAAAAGAATTACTTTATTTTCTTTATAATCAATTCAATATTTTCATTATATGTGTTTAACTTGCATAGTTTTTTCTCTGCCAATACAAGGCTTCCTTTGTATTGAAATAAATAAATTGAAGAGATTGGAATTAAACTATCGATATTAATAAGGTAATAATGATTCATATAACTTATTCGGTACAAACTTTTGTTGTTAATGTAACTGCCGCCAAAGGTACAGGGATCTGAAATCCTCATTTTGTCATTAACACATGTATATTTATTTTTTGACATATTCGATATATCCTCAAGGGCAGATTAACTGTTCGTAAATATGACCGCTTATGTAGCAGAGATCTGAGAGTGAATAGTATCTGGCCCTTGAATTGTTTTGCATTGTCGACGACTTGATAAGCAGTATTTGAATCATTTGTTCATGTATATTTAAATAAATATTTCGAGTCCGAATTTGTTTATAATAATTGCGTAGAGGTGGTTCGAGTTTCGCTTGTAAAAAAAAAAACAGTAAAGGTGCAAGTACATAAGAAGCTTAAAGTCATGGCTAGATATTTTTTTGTGATATTTCATAAAGGGATAACAGAGCCGCACTAAAATCCTGTCGTCGTTTTCCATTAAAATTTGACATTAATATGCCTAGCCATGCCTTCAAGCTTTTTATGTATTTGCACCTTAAGTAGTTAATCGCAATTTGTCCAGTGTACATCCAATAGGGCTATTTATCTTTATAAAATGTTAGATTAGAACAGACAAACATAAAAGGAATAAGAATGTCATTCTATGTAGATAATAAACAAAGAGAAAAAACCTAAAGGGAGGCATGGGTTATAAAAAGTTTGACTTGCCTGAAATTCTCCCTTATAAAGAAAATTTGCCTTGTTATTTTCTATAAACCCAGTCAATGCGGAAGGATGGGAACGTTCAAAAGGATAGACACAAGCTTCACAAGTTTTAATGTTTAAAAATCGGTTTATTTGTAAATAGACTCCATTCTATCCGCAGATTTTTCTTGTGTCACCGTAACACTATGAAATATATATGTTAAAAACTAGTAAAAATGGGGATGTTCTTCTATTTCTATTATTTTTCTTCGCAAAAAGCACAAATCATGTAAATGATATAACAATCACATACATTCAAAGAAGTAATATGGTGTAGGTGTCAGCCGCTAAAGCCGAAGGCCATGATCTCTGCTATTAGTTACAGGACCTGCGGTACTCGGAGTTGATGAAAAACCAACCATTGTGACTCTGCACATATGTTCGGAATATTCATACACACCGTGCTTGTTCCCAAATGCTTGTTTACTTTTTAAATGAAAACGACAATGCGTTTAGCAATATTAAATGTTTGTTTGCCTTTGTTTTGTTCGCATTGCAGCCTCTACGATTGTTGAATTAGCCGTTAAACGCAGTCAAAAAATGGCTCGACCTACGTCGGTGGGTGTTGTGCCCTCCACACCAGTCCTAGGAAGGGATCGCACGGCATCTATAACAGGACCCCAACCGGTTGATGTAATAAGTTTCATATTCCTCTAATTAACAATATTTTAATGCATTCTTATTTGTCAACAGAGTATCAAACGCCGTGAAATGGAAACATATAAAATCAAAACATTACAAAAAATGTTGGAACAGGAGCTATTGAACTTGGAGCGTTTAAAGGGGGATACTAACAATTCGGGCTATAAGACATCTGAAGCAAATATAAAAACATTGCGGGAACAGTTGCGATCTGCAGGAGCTGAGGTGAGTAAAAATCCGAAGGTGATGGCCAACTGTTGGCAAACCCTCCCAATTATCCTCTACCTACTCCCATTCTTTGTACGTGTGTATACTATGGCAATAGCACGGTCGAACGTGTTCGGCTAATTTCCCCCCAAATTAAATGATGAGCTGCTGCAATTGTAATCCATCCGTAGTCAGGCTTTTTTAATATCCGAAACCACCTTTTTTAATGTTTCCCAATAGTTATATAGGCTCACCTTTCAACAATTGAATGTTTCCCCGTCCCCATTCCGTTAGCCTGAATACTTTTGCCATGTACCAAAATATATTGAATTGTCAGAATATGTCATAGGGCATGCATTGTAGATACCTCTGAAGCTAGGCTGTGCTTGCCAAACTAAACTTATCATAATTATTTGCCAATACTGCGCTACTATTGATGAAATGCAAAAATAACCCTCCAACAAGTTGTGCTTTTCGTAGGGGGATAGTAAAAAGAAATCAAATAACACGCACACACACATGTAACAAATCCTAACCGATGTGAAAGAGTGTCGCCTTTTTCGCTGATTTCCAGAAAATGTCATTCAACAAAAAATATCATTTACAATACACACTTATATCAAACAATTGTATACACATATATACACGTATATACACAAACAAACCAAACACCTCCAAACAATTGCATATCTTTTTTCAATTAACAGGACACACCACCAATTAAGTTACAAGCTATGGCGAGCAATAACGGTAAAAGTGTAGGTTTAATGTCGCCAAATCAGTTCCATCACTTGTCTACGTCTTCCTCCAATCAGTCAACTTCACCACAATTTTCTACACATCTTAACCCACATCATTCCCAAAATCACAACAACCAAGCCACAACACCACAAGCATCACAATCATCACCAGCATTTCTGTCGTTGTTACCGCGTTCGTTGTCGTCTCTATCGTTGGGCGGTCGTAGAAATAAAACTGACAAAGACTCAATAGCCGCTCCTCTAAATAACACTACGGATTTCTTGCATACAACCTCCTCTTTCATGGACGCTGTTTCGCCCACGGGCCTGGGTAATATGGCTTCCTCCTCCGGGTCACCATTGAATATGTCACAGTCCCTGCACAACCCACAACAGATGCAACAGCAGCGAAATTCGGCTCAGCAACTCTTTCATTTGCATCAGCAACATTTACAGCACCAATCCAGCAAAGGTTCCTCCAAAGCAACCAAGGGAAAAAATAAATACTCTTCCCAGTCGAAAAATGTGATAGAAGAGGACGACATTCCTCCACCTCTGCCTCAGAGGAATCCGACACGACAAATAAATTTGGATGCTTCGAATAATAACTGTGGGAACCACAGTTTTTCGCCTATTTCCGATCTGGACAATGCCGGAGGGGGTGGTGCGAACTCGCCTATAAGGCAATCACCCCAGCCGCCTCTGGGGTCGGGCCACAACTCTCCACAGAATGCAGGCAACAAATTCAAACGCTCCAAGACAAAGACCAAGGCCCTGTCCGATCCAAAAATGTCAACACAAATATTTCTTCAAATGGAAAGCGCCGGTTCTCACAATTCGCCCAACGACGACAGTCAATTGGACGAATTACCTCCGCCGCTACCACCCCGACAGCCGGGTATGCTCGAAGATCCCCAGCAATCAGTTCATCGTGGAAGCAATCAAAACCTGTCCAGTGTCAGGCCTTCGCCGAATAGTGTTGATACTTTATTGCAGTATCCACTTGTTTCGACATGTACGCCAGTTCATCGCGATAATATGTCCGCTGCATTCCCTCTCTCGCAGAGACCCAACATCGTTCAACAATTGCAACAGCATCAGCAACACCAACAAATGCATATCACTGCAAGTGGCGGCGCCAATGTAGCTGTAAGTATAAAACTACCCACAATATGTTTCTCTTTTAAAGAAATCTGGTATCGGGGTACTCAACATGCATTAAATACTTCTTCTTCTGCGTTGGAATATCATAGCTTATAAAGTATTTTTGTGTTCATGTCAAGTTTGGTGGCAAAAAAAGCTCAGTACGAACCAAACACTTAACCTCTTACTAAAATGGGAAGGGGACTAAATGTATCTCATTTGTAGGTTTACATACTAAATGTCATTTTGATGTTGTTTCTCTCTTAACCACCACCACATAAACCCATGTCAGTACAGGCAATCCATGATTGAAACATATAGGAAAAGCGTCAATTATAATTCTGTAGATTTGTTAAATGTTGCTGTACAATCAGGGATTGCCTGTCTGCCTACCCATATTCTCATTGTTTAATGTCATCTTGCACCACTTCCTAACATTACACCAACTAACAAAATTTGTTTGTTTGCTATACTTATTTTACATGTATTATTCAAAAGTTGCCCGGAAGTTCCTTTATATCTGCCAATTGATCTGAACATTTGTTCACATATTTTCTATTGGTTTAATGCCACGATACTAGTGGATGTTCCCTACTGCTGTTGACAGACTAGCTTCCTACCGTAGATGCTAATAAATCCACCTTGGCCCAGTAGTTAAAATTATTGGTTTTGTGCACCCATTTATTTGCAGCTAGTCTCCCACTTTAAATGAATGTTCCCAAATCAGTGATTTGCAATTTGGTACGTTTAAGTCTAAAGTATTAACAACCGAATGTATTGGTGTTTGGGTAGCAATCACCAAGAGTCAGTGGGAGTTATTAGACTATAATTTTACTTTAAGTGTGTAGTTATTGGGTTGATGTGGTGTTACTCTTACGAAATGCAAATCGCGAATGGCGAGTTGCATATCTGGTTGCCAGAGCGCCAAATAAGCGTGATTTGTTAATTGTTTCTAATTTTTTAGGTTTTGGGCCAGACTCCGCAGAATGTCAATAATATGAGCAAGCATAGACGAGTGGTGTCATCACCGGAAAATATGCACCCAAGGCACCCGGGTAAGTCAATTTTTTTTTTAATTTTTTAATTTTTATTTTTTATCCTTTCATCTTTCATATGATGGATGTGTGGTATTCATTCGCTGCTTTGAAATCATTTTGAACAGATCGCCATATAAAGACTAATTCGGGCTCATGGGAACTAATTGAAAAAGATGACGAAGTTACACCGCCAGGCACACCTCCACCACCTTATAGACATGCACATTCCGCCAGCTTATCCGGCAATGAGGACAACCTTCATGAACATGGTGGTGCATCGACAAGTGGAATTTGCATTGAATCTCATCAATTTACCCCTCTGGGTGTGGCGATTTCACCACCACCTTTACCACATTCCAGTCGTATACACGCGGCACAGACAAGTTGTACCCAGAAGGAAATCATGTCGATGGAAGATGAGGATGCCTCCGACCAAGAGGGTCCATTCATTGACGAGAATGGTCCCTTCAATTCGTTGCCACGGCTATTGGAGGGCTCAAACGTTGCATTTTTGGCAGTATTTTTAAATTATGTTCTGTCCAACTCGGAACCGGCGCCGTTGCTATTTTATCTCATTACTGGCCTTTATAAGGAGGGTACTGCAAAGGACATGCGCAAATGGGTGTATGAAATTCACTCAACCTTTTTGGTGCCCCGTGCTCCTTTGTCGTGGTATCGCCAAGACGAGATGCTGGCACGTGAAGTGGATGCCGTTCTCCAGAACGAGTTCGACAAAGTAGAAATTCTAAGAAAAGTTTTTTGGAAAAGCCGCAAGAAAGCCAGAGACGTCATCTGTGAGCAACTTAGAGAGTTTCAACAAAAGCGGACCGCCGGCTTGGGAACCATATACGGGCCAACAGACGCCCAACTGACGGAGGCCAAGGGCGACAAGCAACGAGAACAACAAATTTTCGAAGACACCCTGATGAAAAAATTGCAGATTATAATGTAAGTTGCCTTTGGTTATTTCGATTCTGTCAACTAAAACCTTATAACGTCCTCCTGTTTTTTAGTGACGAGTACGAAAAAGATCTTCCAGCCGAAGATCCGAAGAAGCTGGCTCTCTGTTCCGCTTTATCGACAGTTATACATCGGATATTCATAACACGATCCCATCCTAATAGTATAATAGACCGGGTTCATCACTTCGTTAGTCGCGAGAAAAGTTTCAAATCACGTTTAATGGGCAAAAAAGGAAAGGTATATATCTCAAAACAAATCCATTGCACATAACGAGCTATTTGTACATGGATGCACCATGTTATAAAAAGCAACTACCCACACCTAAAATACTTTTCGTTTCTTTTTTTCAATTCAGATGATTGTCCGTGGTCATCCATTAGTATTGAGGCAATACTATGAGGTGACCCACTGCAATCATTGCCAGACGATAATTTGGGGCGTTAGTCCACAAGGCTTCCATTGTACAGGTAACCGAAGACTAGCACAGCTTTACATTAACTGTTTTCATTTAATTGAGCGAATTTTCCTTTTTAACAGACTGTAAATTAAATATTCACCGTCCTTGTTCGAAAATATTAGAGGAAAATTGCCCAGGTCCATTACCACAGGCGAAGCGAAAAGATAAAGATCTGAACAACGACAGTAAAATTAGTAAACTAATCATGGGAAAAATTCGTCCAAAAACGTCAGTCGACGCAAGTGGAGGTAATGCATGAAGCAGTCTAAAACAATACGAAACAAAATGCCTAATCTATCGTATAATTTCAGACAAACGTCAACGACAGGATCCCGATGATTTCGATCCCCAATTGGATTTTACACATGGTGAGTAGATTTATGAAACAAAATATTTTCTGCGTATAAAAATATTAGCCACCCGACTACTGAGTTTGGTGTCAAAAGACAAAATTAATTGTCAACCTGTTGTCAAAAGGCCTTGATTGTGACCATGTTATGTGCTGGCCGTTTTTTTAAATGTGATTAAATTGAAAATTTCTGTAGAAACCATCTGGTTGTTTTCATCAATTTCAAAGCCGTATACACAAATTCAATTCGATCAAAATTTACTTGATATCGAATGCGAGAAATTGCCCAAGACTTCAATTGTAGTCCCTATTATAGAGATTTTGAAGTGAACAAAGCTCTTCAGCCACTCTCCAATATGCAATTTCAGGTCCTTATTATTAGTAAGTGTTATATATTTTATTATCACTCTCAAAAGTTTATAAACTTGAGAAATTGTCTAAATCAAATCTTAAAATAAGTTATGATTTGAGGGTAAAAAAAAAAACAACTATAAATATAAAAAGGGTTTCCTATGACATGCGGGATAAAATCTCAATAAATAGATTTTTAATCTGAAGAGAAGATATCATGTAAAATACTTAACCCGTCATAAGCATATAGTGGAGATATTAAAATAAATGATATTTAAAAAAAATCTATGCAAATGTATACGGGTGGACCGACCATGTGATACCGTTTTGGCTAGAATGAAAAAGTCCCTCAAAAATATTGGGATGCATCATTTTAATTTGATTTATGTCACTGCTGTCAATGTTCATGTATTTTTGTAAACAAAATACAGAGATGATAATGATATATCTTTGCCACATTTTATTCTCCTTGTGCGCCAAGTATGCAATGTGAGTCCAGACCTATTATTAAATTACTAAAAACACAACTATAAAATTTAAGGATTCCTACCATCATATTAAATAAAGAGTAATGTGTACACTTTAATGGAACAGCTGTTTGATAAGACGTATGAAACAAAAATGGCAACCCTCTCGCGTCAATGTACCAACAATTTCGAGAAAGCAGTTCACAACAAGAGAATGTGCTGGGAAATTAAGAGAATATACATTATTTGTTTGCTCTTCTCTCGTCGATGTATGAATGTAGCGTTTACAATGTTTATTCCCCCATGCGAGCGCAAAGTAACAGCCCATCACTCACCACAGACATTCCCATCCACATCCCCATCACCACCCCAAACCTCCATCCTTCCCCACATCAAGGAGTCGAACAGCTAGCCAGCAGTGAACGATAATCACATTCAAGCAATCGAGTTATCAGTTGTGTTTTCCAAAACGGCGAATACGGACGTTCGAAACAGTAGTTGCTCGGCTCGTTTGCTCCCTTGACATACACAAAACCCGCTAATTCAAAGAATAGTGAAAGAAACGGGCGTGATAAAACTTTCCAAAAAATGAAAGACGGGCGCATTTACGCTGCCATTCGTGTGTACAAATGTGTCCTATTCGCACTGGTGAATGAATAAAGAAAATTCACAAATTATGCAGTGCAACATCTATTGTCGACTTGTAGACCGATTTAGACTAATAAACCAATATTAGGGTTGCATTTTTTGTGTTTTAAGTAGTCGTGGTGAAAGTACTGGAGATGTTTGTGTTGTTCGAATTTATGTTGTTAAGGTGCATCAATGGATTCGACAAATGATATGGACATGTCACACAATGATGAATGCATCTTATTGTAATTATGTCGACGGGTAGTAGTCGTTGTGTGTTTTTTTGTTTGAGCACACATAAGTCACACTGTTTTTCGTGTAAAACATATTCACACACACACGCGCGCACTCACACACAACATACTTTCAGTCATGTAAACAAAATTAAATTTGTGTACGTTTGGGAGGGTTTGTTCTTTACGTCGGTTCAATGCATCTTTATCGCCACAGCCTGGGAGCAGACATACAGACATACATATGCACGGACGTATTGATTCACTGACCTTATGTGATTTCAAATCAAAGTGCTTGTCCATGCCGACAGGAGTTTTGTTTCAATTCTGAATTAGGTGCACCTCAAAGCCAGATAAAAGTTGTTCGGGGTGCAGAAGTGATGTCGGCGCTTGGTCTGGACAAAACAGTGGAGTGGGTAAATTTGCAAATGGTTGCAAAGCATCTATGCAAAATGTTGTACCCATGTCAAGATCGAAACGGTAACTCCAAACTCCAAAGCAATTTTCTCCAAAGACTAGGAATTTGATATCGGAGTTTCTTTTATTTACAACGACTATTTGGTTTATTCCTCTAATTATAAAGAGTAAAATCGTAGAACTTTTATTACCATCAAGCACAAGCACACCAATCGGAGCAATTCTCTTGACAAAATGTCAAAATGACAAAACACCGTATATCGTAGGAGCTGTAGGTACAGGAGCTGGAAGCGAACGTGAAAACAAACAAAACGATTAACGTGCACTCACACGAAGTCATAAACTTTAACATTTTATTCAATCGTTTTGTACTCGAAACAATGCCAGAAGTACACAAAGAGTACGATTGCCTTAATGTACGTCGACTGTGATTCGCCGAATTGTATCGTTTGCCATGAACCATGTCCAAATGTTTTCTATGTGAAATGATGGCTAGTACATTAAGAGTTGTCATTCTAAATATTGTCTCTTGTACCGGTTTCCCTTGTATGAGGACATAATAAATATTCAGTTTTTTTGTTTCCACTTATTTACACCAACATTACGAAATAATAAAGAAGTTCCGTTATCTGTTTGGTTTCGATTGGTTCTTTGGGAAATAGAGAAGGAGACGATGGCAAACGATTCGTGTAGTTTATTTTCGTACTCTTGTAGCTGACATCAATTGTGAACTTCAAATACCAAACAAAACGTTGAAATATGAGGTTATAATCATTAAAATACAGAGTACCTGCAGGTACTAACGGTTGCTATAGTAAAACGTGGACCCCTATAGACCATGCTCCGCGCCATATGTGGATTCTATCACGGACTATAAATGCTGATGAAAAATAAATCTGTTAGGAAATGTGTCTTAAACTTAACCAAACTCATGAACCGATTTAACAAATACCCCAGATTTGACCTGTTAGGATATGTGCCTTAAGCTCATCCAAGGTCATGCATAGTGACATTGTTTGGACCTTTACAACTGGTGTCAAGTTAAGTCTTTTTGGTCAGTCAGTCAACACATGGGCAAGAAGCAAATTACTTTTTCGGAAGGCATTGACGTTTCCGCCCTGTCAGATTATCACATTTTTTATGTTTCTAATTGTCGTCACATCCAAAATAATTCCAAGAATTCCTCCTGCTTCCTTATTACAAAAGAAGTTTATGTCACACATTTTCTTTTTTAAAATATAATTTACAAAAAACCCTCAATCGCAATCGCTTCCTTGTCCGCAATTCGCATTACATTCAAGTTTTACAACAAATTCTGTAAAGGAACGTCATGGTTGTACTTTCATTTTATGTAAGCATCTTTGGAAGAGATTTTTAATGAAGTATATTTCTGTTAGTTACAGTAATTATCCACATTCGAATAACGGCCCTTTTCTTGATATATATTCCTGCCAAGAGAATGTCGCCCAAAGTATTTAAATCAGGTTTACTAACTGTGGCGAGAGTGTGTCTTGGACAATTTGTTTCCTGTAACAAAACTAATACCACCAAGATGACCTATGTGTTCTTTTCATTTTGTCTTTATTCGAATTCCACTAATGTGATACACTAATCGTCTGAAAAATCTGTTCATACAAAAATTGGGTCTATCATTTTCCGTTCTTCTTACCCTTGCCCTCCCATTCTATCCCTCATCCATCCTCGGTTGCGTTATTTACGACGGAACTTCCATAATGTGCGGTACTACAACTTTATATTAATGCTGACAACATTTGATTCGCCTTCTTCGTCTCACCTTAGAGCGGCATTTCCCATTTCTTACAAATAATGTGCAAAATGTGGGTGAAGATTGGCTGCGCTGTCGTCAGAAATTTTCCCCAGACTTTGTTTTTCATTCATGTTTTGATACAGTCGGGCGAACCAATACCAACAGCCAGCAGCAGCACTCATTGACCGCAATGGTGTTTAAACAAAAGTTTCATTTGTTGAAATCGGTTGTTTGTTTACATTACCAGATTCGAATATTTTTGTCTAAAACGAAAAGAAAAAACATTTTTCCAAACTTTGCAGTAAACGAAAGTTATTTATAGCGCAAGAACATTGTACGTTTGAGACCTTAAAACATTAGCATTTATTTTATATATTGAAAGATTACAAAAAATGACAGCCGCGTCGAAATGTATTCGATTTTATAAAGACGGATATGTGGGTTTTACTAACGTAATTCATGCCCATGGTGTGGCGTGTTCTATCCGGACAACAGTAGTTTCCGGGTACATGCACCTCAAAGTTAGTTCCAAATGATGAGCAGACCGATGCTCGAGTTTAAGTTGTGTTAACCTGCCTAACCTAATGTAGTCGTCGCCTGACCTGTGTTGTGACATCAGATCGAATCTTCAAGCACCTTTCCGGAAAAAATGACAGTGTAACAAAATAATGACGAACAAATTCTTTTTTCGTTTCAAAAATATTGCCTTTTATGGAGCAATGTCTGTGTGCCTACCCGTTCGAAAATTTTAATGTTCAAGTTAAAAATGTAGATTTAATAAACTGATAAATGGACGCTCTGCTAGACACAAAAGAAATCAGTGCAGTAACCACCATCATGGACATTGATCCATTGGCCGCTCCTACAGTTCGCAGAAACCCAAGCATAAAGAGGTTGTTAAAATTCCCTTGGGGTGGACAACACCAAGGTCAAGGTAAGCATCTGACAATAATTTTTGTTAAATATGCGATCTGGATTCAAGGTCTGTTTTGAAACCGTCTGTGTATACGATTTGACCTTCGTTTTCAAAATTTATGTTCGTTCTACTGATGTGAAAGTGAAGTGCTGTGGGCCCAGTAATAATGATGGCAACACTGAAATCGATCTACTAAATTAATGAGTCTGGGCACGAACCATGTTAAAAGCTTTTCAA